TGTCTGGGTTGGGAAACACGAGAGATCAAGTGCAGTGAGGAGATTCCTGGTGAGTGATTAATCATGAGTGAAAGCAGCTTTGCCCAGGTGTGCATACCCAAATTTGATGGGGATTTCGATCACTGGAGCTTGCTGATGGAAAATCTGCTGCGATCCAAAGAGTATTGGGCAGTGGTTGATGAGGGAATAAGAGAGCCTGCACCGGGAGAGCAGTTGACTGAGGCTCAACAGAAGGGTCTGGATGAGAAGAGGCTGAAGGATCTCAAGGCAAAGAACTATTTGTTTAGTTCTATAGATAAAAGCATACTGAAGACTATCACCCAGAAGGCCACAGCCAAGGAGCTGTGGGATTCTATGAAGACAAGGTACCAAGGCAGCGAGAGAGTGAAGAAGTCACAGCTGCAGAACCTCAGAAGAAGTTTTGAGCTGCTGCAGATGAAGGAAGGAGAGTCTGTTGCAGACTATTTTGGCAGAGTGATGACAGTGGCTAATTCCATGAGGAATTGTGGAGAGCTGATGCCTGATGTGAAAATTGTGGAAAAGGTATTAAGAACTTTGACCACCAAATTCAATTACATAGTTTGTTCCATTGAAGAATCCAAGGATATAGATGAACTGAGTGTTGAAGCCCTGCAAAGTTCTTTGCTTGTTCACGAGCAAAAGTTTGCTAAGCCCACATCTGAGGAAGAACAGGCCTTGAAAGTGACATTTGAGTATGGTGGAAGAGGTGGAAGAGGATCAGGAAGAGGAATGTACCAGGGTAGAGGAAGAGGCAGAGGAAGAGGATTGAATCGTGACTTGGTAGAGTGTTTTAAGTGTCATAAACTGGGCCATTTCAAGGCAGAATGCCCTGAGTGGTATGGCAATCAGCAAGCATACTATGCCAATCACTCTGAAAGATCTAAGAACACCTATCCTGATATGACTGAAGATGTGTTATTGATGGCTTTTGTTGAGCAAAAGCAAGAGAAGAAGGAGGAGATGACTGCACAGAACTCCATGGCACTGCTGGACACACAGGTCTCTGAGCATAGGGACACCTGGTGGTTCCTGGATTCTGGCTGCAGCAATCATATGAGTGGAGAAAAGCAGTGGTTCACCTCAATGGAAGACAGCAATGATTGCAATGTGAAGCTGGGGAATGGGACCAAGTTGGCAGTTGCTGCAAAAGGCACAGTAAGACTGGTGGTAGATGGAGTCTCACTGTCCATCAGTGATGTATTCTATGTGCCAGGGCTCACAACAAATCTACTGAGTGTTGGCCAGTTGCAAGAAAAGCAGCTAAGTTTTGTGTTCCAAGGAGGAGTCTGCAGGATTTATCAAGAAGAAAAGGGTTTCCTTCTGCAAACATCAATGAAAACCAACAGAATGTTTGTTCTGCACTCTCAAAAGCAGGCAAACAATTCAAATGAGGATCATTTATGTCTGTATCAGAAGGAAGCAAGCAAGACACTGAATCTCTGGCATAGGAGATTTGGCCATCTGAGTTGTCAGAGTCTATTGCAGATGCAGAAGAAGGGTGTTGTGCAAGGACTACCTCAAATACAAGGTGATCTGGGAATCTGCTCCACTTGTCAGATTGGTAAACAACACAGAGGCAGCTTTCCAAAGCAGAGCTCTTGGAGAGCTAACAAGAAACTTCAGTTAATCCATGCTGACCTGTGTGGACCAATCACCCCAGTCTCGAATGGAGGCAAGAGGTACATTCTGACAATCACAGATGATTTCAGTAGGAAGTTATGGGTGTATTTCTTAGAAGCAAAATCAGAAACCTTGAATTGTTTCAAGAAATACAAGGCTCAAGTGGAGAATGAGACAGGAGAATCAATTGTATGCCTTAGAACTGACAGAGGAGGAGAGTTTCTTCTGAATGAGTTCAAGGAACTATGTGAAACAGCTGGGATAAGAAGGCAATTGACTGCTGCATTGACTCCCCAGCAGAATGGGGTGGCTGAACGAAGAAACAGAACCATTATGAACATGGTTAGGTGTTCACTGGCTGACACCAAAGTTCCTGCTGTGTTCTGGCCAGAAGCAGTGGCCTGGACCTGCCATGTGTTGAACAGAAGTCCAACCTCAGCCAATGAAGGGAAGACACCTCAAGAACTCTGGACAGGTAAACCTCCATCTGTTGGCCACTTTAAAATCTTTGGATGTGTGGCATATATGCATATAAATGATCATCTAAGGAAGAAGCTCGATGCCAAAAGTACACAGTGCTACTTCCTAGGCCTATCTACTGAGTCTAAGGCATATAAGTTGTATAATCCTGTCACCAAGAAGGTCCTGATCAGCAGAGATGTGGTCTTTGATGAGACCAAGGGTTGGACATGGGAATCAGAACCAGAACCAGTGGAAACCAGGTTGATATGGGATGGCAGTGATGAACCATGGTATGAATCAGAAGATGAGGAAGAGTCTGTTACTCCAGCTGCAGAACCAGCAACTCCCTCAGCAACTCCAGTCACACCAGCAACTCCCTCAGCAACTCCTTCAGCACATCAGAATGAAGGGGAGGAAGATGATGATGATGAACCTAATTCTGATGTGCTGGGGCTTCCCAGTGGAGGGGGATTAGGCCCCAGAGTCAGGCATCCACCTAGTCATTTGTCCATATATGATTGCACTTATTTTGCAGGATTGGAGGACTTTGAAGGATTGGAGTGCCTTGTGACAGTCAGTGATGATCCCACTAGTTTTGAGGAAGCTGTGCAGGATGAGAAGTGGAGAAATGCTATGAAGCAGGAGATGAGCAGCATTGAGAAGAATGACACGTGGGTGCTGGTGGAATTGCCTGCAGGAGTGATTCCAATTGGGGTCAAATGGATATTCAAAACTAAGCTGAAGGAGGATGGATCTGTGGATAAGTTCAAGGCAAGGTTAGTGGCAAAAGGGTATGCTCAGAAGCATGGCATAGATTATACAGAAGTGTTTGCTCCTGTTGCTAGATGGGATACCATCAGAGCTCTTCTTGCATTGGCTGCATACCATGGATTCCCAGTCTATCAACTCGATGTAAAAAGTGCATTTCTGCATGGTGAGCTGACAGAAGAAGTTTACATTATGCAGCCCCAAGGTTTTGAAGTAGCAGGGGAGGAGCAGAAGGTTTACAGGTTGAAAAAGGCCCTTTATGGATTGAAACAGGCTCCAAGAGCCTGGTACAGCAGGATAGAAGCTTACTTTCTCAAGTCTGGATTTGAGAGAAGTGATTATGAACATACCTTGTTCATAAAGAAGTCAGAAAATGACATCTTACTGGTGAGTCTCTATGTGGATGACCTTATGTATGCAAGCAGCAGTTCTAAGCTCATAGATGAATTCAAAAAATCCATGCAATCAGAGTTCGAGATGACTGATCTAGGAAGAATGAAATACTTCCTTGGAGTTGAGGTGCATCAGAGTGAAGCAGGGATCTTTATCAACCAGCAGAAGTATGTGACAGAAGTTCTGGATAAGTTTGGACTCTCAAGCTGCAATTTTGTGAAAAATCCCATGGCTCCTGGAGCTAAGCTATCCAAAGCAGGAGACGGAATATCAGTGGATGCTACAGAGTACAAAAGGTTAATTGGAAGCTTACTCTATGTATGTGCCACCAGACCTGATATCATGTATGCTGTATGCTTGTTGAGCAGGTTCATGGAAGCTCCAACCAGGCAACATATGTTTGCAGCAAAGAGAGTTCTGAGGTACTTGAAGGGAACCAGTACTCATGGGGTCTGGTACAAGAGGAAGGATGAAAATAACAAGCTCATTGGGTACACTGACAGTGATTATGCAGGTGACTTGGATGATCGCAAGTCTACCAGTGGTTATGTGTTTTTTGTAGCAGGAGGAGCTATTTCTTGGGCCTCCAAGAAGCAGCCTGTCGTCACCCTATCAACAACAGAGGCTGAGTTTGTGGCTGGATCTTACTGTGCTGCACAGTGTGTATGGTTGAGGAAGATTCTTGAGCAGATGGGATGGAAAAGTTCTGTGTCTGCTGCCACAAAAATTCTGTGTGACAGCAGCTCGGCTATCAAATTATCCAAGAATCCTGTCCTACATGGCAGGAGTAAGCACATTGATGTGCGTTTCCACTTTCTGAGGGAGCTGGCTAAGGAAGAAGTGATTGAAATGGAGCATTGCAGAAGCCACGAGCAAGTAGCTGATATTATGACTAAAGCACTCCATCTGGACACATTTCAGACACTAAGGCATCAGCTGGGAATGTGTGCAGAAGGGGATTTCAAGCAGAGGTGAAGCATCACAAAGGTGAGGTGAACTGAAGTCAACAGAAGTTGCAGAAGGAGACTTCAGTTCAGGGGAGGATGATGTTGCTGTTCTGAAGTTGCTGGTCTGAATCCGAATCCAGATCGGAGAAGGAAAAGAAGTGCTGAGCGTCTGTTTTAAGTAGTCTTAACAAAACTGCGTCGTTTGCTGTTTTATTGTTTTAGTCCTTGAGTTTTTTGTCTTATGCCAGTAGGGTCATTTAGCCGTTGTGGCTGTTAGCAGAAGCAGGGTAATTGGTTCTACTTTTCTGGGATCGTGGGGATTGGATTGTTGTGACGAAGCCGAGGTTAATGGCTTCTGTTAGAGAGTCCTGTATTTATATTTCTTCTCCATCAATGAATAAGATGTCAGTTTGCAATACATCTCATGATAACACGGACCCCATATTTGAATGACAGAAAATATATAAAAAATGCACTAAAACATGTGCTACAATCATTGAGATGATAAAACCACATCAAGATGCACTTGAATGTGTAATGTGTAGTGAGGTCGCACACTAGTAATTAGAAGTAACTCATCCATTTCATATGAAAATTAACCATTTTCGTACCAATCCGACATAGCCCATCAACACAAACCTGAAAAAATAGAAATTCAATTACCATACGACGTCTGGATGAAAATATATTTAAAAACTTGGAAACGACAATTTAATAAGTAATTAACTCACTAATCAATCTCGCTAATAAGCTAACCCACCAGAATCAAATAGAGAGTAAGTTCAGACCCCGAAGCCCAAAACCCTCTCTTTCTCTCCCCCTCTTCTCCATTTTCCTTCCCACAGGAGAAAACGACCGCCATAAACAAAATTCTTAGTTATGCCCTTTTTGGGCCTTCGAAATATCACTTCAACTGAAAGATCAGGATTTCAGGAGATAGAGAGATGGGTAGTGGAAGATTAGATTAGGTAAAGGGGGAAAACCGTAAAAGAAAGCACAGAACCCAGCTGATGGGGAAGACCAAGGTGAAATTCTCCTTGTGATTTGAGCTGGTGGAAGAGAGAGTGAAAGTTGGAATCTTTTCTTTTATCTACTCGTATGGAATGCCATCACCACCTTACCACAATCAGCAGCAGACGAGGAGAAGGAATAAAGTGGGGGAGAAGAAGAATTGCAGCAGCTGTTTTGGGTTCTGGGTTTGTGCTCAAAAGATCTTTCTCCTCAACAGTTGAAACTTAGGATCAGTTGTTTTTGTTTTCTGTTGAATCCCAGTATCGTGGCAATGAGAAGTCAGCAGCATAAAGTTGGGGTTTTTCTGTTCCTGCTCTTCTTCGGTCCAATGGGTAATCAGCTACTCCCTTTTTGAATTTTTACTTTGCTTACTTCTGGCAATATGATTGCTCTTCTACATGAATGATCCTAGATGTTGTCTGTACAGGGATTGAATTCTTGATCACGATTGCTTTTAGTCTTTTGTGTGTTTTTTGGCGGTGGATTGGTGAATTGAACTTAGTTTCCCCCTTCTATCTTCCTTCTGAATCAATCTTGGTTCTTAAAAGTTCGAAATTTGGTTGAGTCAGGTCAATTTGGGGTCTAATTGATCTTTGTGTGATAGGTTACTTGTATTCAAAAGCTTCAATTTTCTCTTCAGTTATCAATTTTCAAAGTTGCTTACACCCAATTCCAATTTCCAAGCACAGCTTCAGAAAATTCAACTAGAGTTGCTCCAGGGATAATTGGGTCATCGATGAGCAAATTTCAGCGGTGGAATTGAGCTTAAATTCCATCTAGTGAAGAAATTTTGACAATTCTGTACTCTTGGATTGCCATAAATGTAGTCCCAACTCCCAAACATGTGGAATTGTGGATTCTCCAAGGCCCCAATCGCTCTCTAGCTATTTAAGGGATTTGCCTAACGTTTTCTGCTTCTGTTCATTATCATATTTGCCTCACTCTAGGTCACCATTCAGGGTCTTGTGTGTTACTGCTGATGATTCTCTCTTTTCTTGTGCTGCAGCATCACTAGCAGACCCAGCATTCGTCGGAACTTACGGAATAAACTATGGAAGAATCGCTGACAACATTCCATCTCCCGACCAAGTGGTCACCCTTCTCCGGTCAGCAAAGATACGTAATGTTCGTATCTTTGATGCTGACCACAGCGTGCTCACCGCATTCAGTGGAGCAGGGTTCAAGCTCGTGATCGGGCTTCCCAACGGGTTTCTCAAAGACATGAGCAGCAATGCAAGCAACGCTATGAGCTGGGTCAAAGACAACGTCCAGCAATTCATGCCAGGGATATGTGGCGTGGCAATAGGAAATGAAGTTTTAGGAGGAAGCGATGTCGAGCTCTATGGTGCTCTTTTAGGTGCAGCGAAGAACATCCACAGCGCTCTAAGTCAGCTCGGCCTGTCCGATGCAGTTCAGGTGTCCACAGCTCACTCGCAGAACGTCTTCTCCAACTCCTACCCACCATCATCGTGCGTATTCCGCGAGAACGTCGCTCAGTACATGAAGCCTTTGTTACAATTCTTCTGGGAAGCAGGGTCCCCATTCTGCTTGAACGCATACCCATTCCTCGACTACATGAACGATCCGGCAAGCATCGACATTAACTATGCACTTTTCCAGAAGACGAAAGGGATCTTCGATCCGAAGACTGAGCTGCACTATGATAACATGCTTGATGCCCAGATAGATGCTGCGTATGCAGCTCTGGAAGATGCAGGGTTCGACAAGATGGAAGTTATAGTGACGGAGACAGGGTGGGCTTCTAAGGGTGACGGAAATGAAGCTGCTGCCACGCCAGAGAACGCAAGGACTTACAACTTCAACCTGCGTAAGAGGCTGGCAAAGAAGAAAGGCACTCCAAGGAGGCCGAAGAACGTGGTGAAGGCTTATGTTTTTGCTACCTTTAACGAGAATCTGAAGCCTGGTCCGACTTCTGAGAGGAATTTCGGGCTCTTCAAGCCGGATGGGAGCATTGCCTATGATGTTGGGTACAAAGGGCTTAAATCTTCTTCTGCTGATTCAATAGTTCTTTCATTGAAGGTAAACACTTATCTTCCCTTTTCTCGGTTTGCTTCTTTTCATTCCCCATACTGACAATACCTAGAACTCCTAGTTCTGAATGCAGTCCTTGTATGTCTTCATTAGCTCATCGTCTCCACCCTCCTGGGTTATATTCATTGATGCAGGGTTTTCCAGCTCGAGGTTTGTTGAGGTCGTATCAGTTGGTTTGGACAATCTGTGCCCTGGTATTGCTTCTGTTGTTAAGACAATGATGTTCAGGAAACAATTCATCTTTGTAAATCAGGCACTCGGGGACCAACAAGGGAAGAGAGTTCAGATAGGTATACAGATGCAATACGAATTCATGTCAAACTTCAACAGTACGTACCAAAATAATATTGGATTTTCCTGCTATGATAACATATTTCTTAGAGATATGGCTGATTGTTTTTAGCTCTCTGGCAAGAGTGTACACTTGGGTGAATTATAGAATCACTGCTTACCAGTTTTCTATCACACCTTGCTGTACGAAAGGTTAATGCTGTGGTTGATGAGGAACTTGAGCTGTAACAGGCGACATAAATCGTATCATACCGACTAGTTGATCGAGCTAGCAACTTTTGCTTTGCTGCAGGTGAATTCCATAACGATTCAGGACAGTTGACCTGGGAATTTGTTTGATGGATGTCTCTGGTATTTGTTGTGCCTAACTTAATGTGATAAGAGGCTCCATTCTGTATGATATAAGAACGCAAGGAAGCCTATTTATTTGACTTCATATGCAGAAGGATTGACAGTCCAATCTTTTTCAGAGAGGTTATTAGTATTTTGTGCTATTTGTTTTTATGGCGATAATCTCAGGATGCCCCGGTTTCTTGCATTGATTTCCAGGAGTCCCTGATGGCATCCATGAAATAGTCCTGTTCCTGCCTTGGATTGTTGGATGTTTTTAGTCTTTCTATTCTGACCAGATCAGAGAAGATCCAATATCCTGGTTCTTCTTCTTCTCGTTAGGTCACTTGAATTACTAATTAATTTCACGTTAGCCACTAGAATTACTTTATTCCATTCATAGTCACTTAGATTAGGTTAACAGTTCAAGTTTGGTCACTGGCCGTTAATCTCCGTTAACTTTTGCTGATGTGGCGGTTAACTCTTATAATTGACCGTTAAATGAGTGACCTGACAATTAAAAAAATAATAAAATTGATTTTTTAATAATTTCCACCTCATTATTACAATAAATTAAAAAATAATTCAAACAAAAAAGACGTCAGAAACATCACCCATTTCCACCTCATTTTAATAATTTCCACTAATCTTTCTCTTTAAGAGCATCATCCAATCTCCCCAACCAAATCCTTCAGCTCCTTCTCCTCCGTGTCATCTTCAATCTCTGTCTCCTCAACTTTCTCAACCATCACAAATTCCTCCATTGCTTGAGTCTCTGCCGCCCCACTCTCAGTTTCCTCCTTCACAACAACCTCCCCGTCATTTTCCTAGGTGAATCAACATTGCCATTCCAGCCAATCTGCAACTCTCTTCCTCTCCACCAATCAAATCAGGATTGTCCTCTTTTTTAACCGCAACCTCCTCTTCTGAACCTTTCTTGTCATGCATAAGATAAATCCATACAGCTCTGCTATGATCATCCACGATAGTAAGAAAATAAGCATAGCCATCATAGGATCTCACAGACAGGGGGCCCCATATATCGACATGAATCAATTGAAAAGGAAACAAAGCAGTGCTATCATTAACAGGGAAAGGAAGTTTCTTCTGTTTGGACAAATGACAAGTTTCACAATGGGAGACAACCTCACTGGTAACAATGGAGTGTTGTTTTTGAAGTAAATGAAACCTATCTCTACCAGGGTGGCCTAAACGCTAGTGCCAAAGATCAACATGATGAGGTTGGAAATTGTAAGTGAAGGCAGCCTGAGGGAATGTGGGAGAAGAGGCAGAAGATGAAGGTGTGGTGGTAGTCAGGAGATAGAGACCTCTACTTTGTTTTGCCAAACCAATGTTCCTCTGGGTCTGATGGTCCTGAAGTTCACAAACATCATATTTGAAATGCAGAGAAACAGGTAAGTCAGAGGTCAACTTGCTGACAGAAATAAGGTTAAAAGTGAAGCTAGGGACAAGCAAGGTGTTGTGTAAAAGAAGGCCAAAAGGAAGTTGTGCAGTGCCAACATGACTGACAGGGATTTTAACACCATTAGGGAGGTAAACAAAGCTATTTGTAACTGTAGTAGAGGTCACAAAATGGGATGCAGAACAGGTGATATGGTCAGAGGGCCCCGTGTCCAGAATCCATATTGAAACTAAGGTAGAATGATCAATGTCCACATGAGAAGAGAGAACATACTTACCAGCATGATTAGGGAAGGCAGGTAAGTATTGAAGACACGGAAAAGGCCTTATGAGCAATGACATGGGATCCTGGAGATAGAGGACCTGAGTCCATCCCATACTGCAGTAGTGACTTCAGGCGAGTAAGATCATCAGAGGATAGTGTGAGAGACGTCTTGGAAGGACTAGAACCACCATCAGAAACAGAACTGTTGCTATCAGAAGAAGGAGAATCCTGACCAATAGAACCAGCAAAGGAGTTACTAGCCTTTTCCTTGTCCTTCCTCTTAAGTTTCCAGCAGTCCTTAATAGTATGATCAGTTCGTTTATAGTAGCGACATAAAAGCTTCTCAGAACCATCATCTTGTTTACCACGAAAGGGTTCCTTCCCAGCAGCCAAAGCAACAGATTGACCACCCTTGGAAGGGCGGTCGCCCTTAAGTTTTTGCTCATGCTGGAGAATGTCATCAACAGCAGCAGAAATAGTAGGAAGAGGCTTCTGCATAAGGAGCTGGGTTTTCACAACTTCATATTCTGGGTTCAAACCTCTTAGAAAACTCAAGAGGTAATCAGTTTCCTGCTTCAATTTGAAAGCCTCAACAGCAGCACGGGGATTGGGGTTACCAGGAGCACAAACACAAGGAACAATCGGAGAGAATTGCAAGTAATCTTCCCACAAACCCTTGATGTCAGTGTAATATTGAGTAACAGAACGATTCCCTTGCTTACAGGCTTGAATATCATCTTCCAGATTCATGATTCGAAGAGCATTAGGCTGGCCAAATATGCGTTTGAGTTCATCCCACAACACACGAGCATTCTCGTGGTTCATGACACTGCGTGCGATCTCCTTCTGCAAAGAGTTGACAATCCAACAGAGAACCAAGGTATTGCAACCATCCCACAAATAAAACTGAGGATCTGTGGGTAGAGGAGCTCGAATTGAGCCATCAATAAACCCAATCTTGTGTTTGGTCTTGAGCGCCATTCGCATAGAACGACTCCACATGGAGTAATTAGTGCCATCCAAAGTCTCAGCGATAATCGACTGGGATAAATTCTCATTGGGATTGAGATAAAAGGGGTTTCCAAATTGGACCTCACCTCTGTTACCCTGATCTGAAGTCTCTGAGAAACTCCCGAAGTGGACGCCGGCGGCAGGACGAGCTCCGTTTCCAGGCGGAGTGTTTCTTTAAGTCTGCTACTGAGTTCTTCACGATCAATAGCCTGCAATCAATGTGGTGAATTCGTCTTTCCCGTCTCCTTGGTATCTGCTATTGTATTTTTGGCTCCCGTCTGTATCGTTTCTGCGAACCCTAAGTTTGATGTCAAACCGATTTCGAGTGTCTTTTCTTTTTCTTTAGAATTACCTTACATTAATCGGTATGGAGGAGACCCTTTAGTTTGTTAGCTTGGAATTTTGATCTCATTAGTGTCTGCGATTGGAGCTCAAACTCCCCACAGCTTAGTTTTCGTCGAACCCTAATTTTACTTTCAGATCGATTTTGAACAACCTTTCTTTTTCTTTAGAATCACCTAACATCAATGAGGCTGGAGGAGACCTTTTAGTTTGGTTGCTTGGAATCTTATCTTATTCTAATCAACTGTTCAAGTTAAATCTTTTTTTCCGTTTCTTTGAAATTTGGCTAGCTGTTATTGCGGAGACCTTGAGTTTGTTTGTTTGGAATATTAGTCTAATTCGTAGGTACAGTAGAATCTTTTTTCTGTTTCTTCTAAATCGGGTTCATGGTTCTTCAAAAGTTTGTTTAACACTTTGTTTGGATAGGGGTGTAAATAGAGGGGGGGGGGTGCAAAAGGGGAGGGGTAAATGTGAAACCCAAGACAAATACCCCCATTTGGATATTTTTCAACAGTAGCTGGGGGGTGCAAACCAGGTGCAAAAGCACTATTCCGGTGGAGGAATGAAGGGAAGGGTGGTGGGCCAGGGAAGAGAGGGATGTGGCTGCTGGTGGAGAAATAGAGGGAGAGGTGTGGTGGGGCCAGGGGAGAGAGAGAAAGGAAGGAAGTGTGAGATTAGGGTGGGGTAGGATTGGGGTTTTGTTTTATTTTTAATATTAAATATTAATATTAATATTAATATTAAATATTATATTTTATATCTAATTTGCACCCTCCTACTTTTTTTCCCAAACAACGATTTACGCCTCAATTTGCTCCCCCTGAAATTTGCTCCCTCCTACAATTTGCACCTCTATTTGCACCCTCCTAGTTGCCAAACAGAGCGTAGCTTTCATGAATCTTTCAGTGCCAGATTGCTCTTTTGACTCTTTGAATCTTTCAAAAGTCTCTGTTAATCTAGTGCTCTGTCGTAGCTCCTAAATCTTTCAAAAGTTTCTTGTATTGATCCCTACTGTAGTATATTTTTGATTTACTGTAATTCTTCTGTCAATTTCGATGAAACTGGTATTGTCAAAACTTACTATTCATTTTCATCCTTTCTATGGAGATTTAACATAGCTGCCTATAGCCCTATACTATGTCTCTAACTGTGATATTATTACCTAGGCTGAATACTGTTTTCCGGAAGACGGGTAGCTTTATCAGTGGGTTGTTCACTGGGACGTCTAACAAAAGGTGAGAATATGTTCTGAATTTAAATTTTTTATTTCTTTCTGTTTCTGGTAGTTTGCTTATAGATTTCATCTGTCTTTATTCTAGGAAGTTTGATGCCATAGAGAGGGCTGCTAGAGACAGCCAAGATTTGCACCACGAACTTGAACAATTGAAAAAAGATGTTCTAGCCAATGCTAACCAACTGGCAATCTTGGAAACATCTCTTAATAATGCGGTTCGTAATCAGCACAGTCAGGTGTCAATCTTGGTATTGCAGTCCCGTATTCAAAAGATTCAAGATGAAAACCGTGATCTTACTATGATAATTGAAGCTGCTAACTCACAGCTGAAAGATTGTGAGTCTGTGATCAAGAGGATTAAAGCGGGTGATGTAAGTGTTTTTTGATGAACCATAGATTCTGTGTTCATATATCATAGTAGCCGTACAAAATTCTTCTTATCTTGCCTAATGTTGGTCTTTTTTTTAATTTTGTGCTTGTTCACCTTGGTTTGTCAACTTTATTTTGCAGGGCAATACTGCTATGTTACTTCCAAATCTGAACACTCCTGTTAATGAGGAAGATGCAGTAGATCACCAAACTGCAAATAATGCAAATGATTTAGTCTATGTCGGTACCTTCCTAAACATTTGATTTCTTTTCTAGTTGATCTATTATATTAACAATTTCTATTATTTTGCAGGAGGGTCTCCTTCTTGATCTTAATGTCCCTCCTCCTATGGAAAATGTTGCTAATAATGGAAACCATGTAGTTTAGGTGGTTTATGTCATGCATTTTTTCCCCTTTTCAAGTTTAAATGTTGCTATAGATGTCAGAACTTGAATATGTTGAAAATTAGGTAGTCAATATGGTCGGATATACTACATAGCTTTTTATTATTCCAGTCCTTATTGTTGACACTCTGATCAAAGCTCTTGCTGTGTTATGCAGAATGTTGATAATGAGGATCAAATGCTTCAGCTTGCAAATGATATTGATGTTAATGATGATATTGGGAATGACCATAATGATAATGTTGACAATCAGGTATTTGTGGTGGCTTGGTTTTGATTTGTATTTATTATTTTTTAGTTGTAGTCTGTTTAGATGGTTAGGATGATATGCATCCATTGGAGGATGTTGAATATGATTTGCAAATGATAATGGTGTTTCAGCTTGCAAATGATAATGATGTTAATGATGACATTAAGGGTCACGTGCTACAGTTAGGGAATGATCATAATGATAATGTTGACAATCAGGTATTTGTGGTGGTTTGGTTTGATTTGTATTTATGATTTTATAGTTGTAGTTTGTTTAGATGGTTAGGATGATATGCATCCATTGGAGGATGTTGAATATGATTTGCAAATGATAATGATGTTTCAGCTTGCAAATGATAATGATGTTAATGATGACATTGAGGGCCACGTGCTACAGTTAGGGAATGACCATAATGATAATGTTGACAATCAGGTATTTGTGGTGGCTTGGTTTTGATTTGTATTTATGATTTTATAATTGTAGTTTGTTTAGATGGTTAGGATGATATGCATCCATTGGAGGATGTTGAATATGATTTGCAGTTTGGGAATCTCTAAATATCCTTGTTGCTATGATTTGCAGGCTGATGATAGTCAAGATGATATGCCTCCATTGGAGGATGCTGAATAAAACTGTTAGTTTTGGTGTGCTTTCTTTTGTTCGCTCCTTTTGTTTGCAGTTCTAAATTTAAGAGTTGACATATATTATTTCCATATGTCCAGGAGAAACTGTATAGGGCGGATTTGGTACATAAATGTGAAACTGAAGATCTGATTACAGCAGCTTATGAACAGTTATCAAGTGAACAACATACGATTTTATAGGATATTGTGGAGTCAGAATGCAGTTGCTATTGTGATCGATGATGGAGTTCTTTTTTGGTGAAGTCTGGACAATTGTTGATTTTGAATAAGCGGGCAGGTTGATGTATGTTACACTTTGTGGGTGCTGTTTTGTAATTGAAGGGTAAAATGTGAATTTTGATATGTTGGATATGCTCTTTTTTTTTAAACAAACCATTGGATTCTTTTGAACTCAATCACGAGCCTCACTGGCAACTACATTAGCTAATAAAGCAGAATCACAATCATCCTATACATATTCTCCACTTTCGGGTGGAGTAATGTGAGCCACCCCCAATGAGCAACAACATTTACTTCTCTAAAAGTGAACTTCCATCCTATCACATTCACCATACTTCATATATCTTTGATGTCCTTACAAACACTATTGATTTCTGTTCTACACTCTGTTCCTCACTTTAGCAGATCCACAATCTTCTTGCAATCTGTCTCTACCACAACAGGGCCAAAACCCCTTTCCAATATTTTATGAAGACCAAAAAGGATAGCCTTCCCTTCTGCTATAATAGTTGGCCACTTGATCTTTTCACTTTTATTTGCATAAAACATCGCTCTCCCATTCCAGTCTCTCAGAACACAACCCATAGCATCTTCCCCTCTACCATTTATCCCAGCATCAGCATTCAATTTATATACTCCCACTAGGGGCTTCTCCCACCTGCAATTTCTCCTATCCCTACTCCTGCAAACTGTCCTGCTCTTCCCCTGCACCTCTAGAAAGTCCTTAATGTAGTTGTCTGCCTTAGAGAAGACCTCCCATTCCTTCAAGATCTTATTATTAAAGAGAAAAGTTGTTCCTCTCCTTCCAAAATAACCAAATGAGGGAACAAAATCTCTCTAAATCATGTTCTACAGCTTTCTTTAGGACTCGATACAACCAGCCTTTACAATCCATCTCATCAGCCATATAGAACATTTGGTAGCTCTCATAAGCTACATTATACCAAACTTTTCCGATTATAAACCTCTAGCAGAACACCTCGCCGTAATGGCATTGTTTGTTACCTTAAAAGTAACTCTTACTCTCGTATATTCGCTCCACATACCAGAATTCAGAGCATAAAAAATCTTGAGCGATCCAAACATTGATTGAGCCTATCTTGTTTGCCATACGCTCAGTTCGCATCTTAATTCGTTGGGATCTTCCGAATTCGCACCCACATCTCTGTTTCACTGAAGTCTGCCTCCTATAGCTCCTTTCCCCTGTCTACTGGCTTCAACACAAGTAGCTGATTTTCGAAATGCCATGGACCTCCATGCAGTGCTTTCTTTCTATCTTCTGCTGAGATAAACTGGAATACCAGCCGATCGATTCCCCTCCAAAAGGCGAACATCAAATCTTGTTGTGGTTTCCAAGCAGCCACCAGAGCATCTTTTAGGAATTTTAATCCCGACTTTTTGTTGCCTAGGAGTAGACCAATCACTCCAAGCTCTTCCACCACACTTTCTATCGCTGTGTCAACATCACCAGCTTCTTCCACTGTAATACTATTTATTTCCTCCTCTGACATGCTAAAGTTCTTCATTTGCTGCTCTAGCTCCTCTGCCATTTGGGAAGACCGACAATAGAAGCGAGACCAAAGGAGTAGAAACTCAGCAAGACTAGCAGAACCTTATGCAGATTGATTGAGTGACACGAACAAGAATTCTTCACAAGGAAGACAGGGACTCAGCAAAATAGTAAAAGAGACTCTTAATTGTTAGAGAGAGAGAGAAAGCTCTACTAAAGAGAGAGTCGACCACCCCGGATATGCTCTTTGGTTGTTCAAGTTTGTGCAGAATTCAAAATTGAATTTTTTTACATTTTACAAAGTGTTAGTCTTTAGTTTCTCTATATTATACTGTTTTGACGAGGACAGTTTCATGCATGATGGCATCATATTGACCATTTTAGTAAAGTGGAAATGATTTGTGAGAATTTTGTTCTAGGGATTAGAGTTTGCACCAAGAAGAAGGAAAAAAGTAGAAAATTTTGCAATTGGTCCATGACCCAATATCACTGCAGTTTGGGGGTAGGGGTGGGATTCAGTAACTCGGTAATCGAGGGCCGCTTGGGAGATCCAATTTACTGCCCCCGGTCTCGGTAAATACCGACGGTAAGTCGGTATTACCGGAACGCGGCGTTTTACCGCCCTCGTCACCTGGAACGCGACGTTTTACCCAAACCCTTAATTAAAAAAAATCATCGAGGCCAAGCCTCCAGACCCACCTGCCTCTCGCTTCGCAGTTCGCCCGCCGCCTCTCCTTCTCCAAATCTTCTCGTCGCGACTCGCGACTCTGCTTCTCCGACCACGCCGCGTCGCCGGCGTTGCAGCACCCTCCGCCCCAGTCCGCCTCGCGTCCTCCTCGCCTCCCAGACCCCAGTCGCCGACGTTGCAGCACTCCCTCCGCCCCAGTCCTCTGCCATGAGTGCAGATCTGGTGACTAGGGGGTGCTTAGTCACTTGGCTAAGCCCCCCTCAGCCATTGGATCCTTATTAATTGATCTAATGGTGGAAATAAGGGAAGGGATGATTAAATAATGGGAGGGGTAATTTTGGGATTATGAAAAATTCATTTAATTTTTTTTCCTCCAACCTGTCTTCTTCTGCGTAGTACCGCCCCCATGAGAGAGAGAAAAGCTGCAGCGGGGGGAGAGAACGCCGGAGATTATGGAAGTCATGACGAGGCTATAAACTTGAGTAAGTCGCTCTTCTCCCTAACCTATAGGATAACTTGCCGCACGACCTTTGGGGAGAAGGCCCAAAACCAAGAGGAAGCCTTTTTGCCGGTTCTGGAGCAGATTATGAAGGCACTTGGTGGGCTGAGCCTGTGGGACTTGTTCCCTTCCAGTAACTTGGTGCATCTGGTGAGCGGGACGGAGAGGAAGCAGAAGAAGCTCCATTCGGAAGTTGATGTCATCCTCGAACAAGTAATCATCGACCACGTGGCAAGACGAAGAACAAAGAGAGTTGATGGTGGTGGTGGACTAGTGGTGGGTGTTTAATGGACTTAATCATACTTGTAAAATAGTCTCAGGCCGAATCTGTGATCTGTAGTCTTCAAAATCTAAGTAAAATGACCTTTCGAAAAAAATTGACAAAAAAATACGAAAATGTCATCCTAAAAGTAATTCCCCCAAATTGTTGCTTAATGGACTAAATCGTCGATTGAGAACAGGATCCATAGACTTCACCATCGGTGGAGAACAGCCTCTGGCCTGATCCTTGATCCGTAGGCTTGAAAATCTCCAGAAAATGTCATTTCGGGAAAATCCCCTGAAATCTGTGATGGTACCCCTTTGGAATCTGACAAAAATTGACACTGATTAAATCCGCCCAAATCAATGCTTAATGGACTTAATCATCCTTGAAGAATAGTCTCAGGCCAAATCTGTGATCTGTAGCATTCAAAATCCTAGAAAAATTGCCCTTCGAAAAAAAGTCGCGGAAAAAATAACCAAAATGACATCCTAAAAGTAATTCCCCCAAATTGTTGCTTAATGGACTTAATCGTCGGTGGAGAATAGGATCCATAGACTTCACCATCGGTGGAGAATAATCTCTGGCACGATCCGTGATCCGTAGTCTTCAAAATCTAAAGAAAATGTCATTTGGGGAAAATCGCCCGAAATCTGTGATGGTACCCTTTTGGAATCTTACAAAAATTTATCCGGAATAAATCTGCCCAAATTGGAGCTTAATGAACTTAATCATCCTTGAAGAATAGTCTTAGGCCGAATATGTGATCTTTAGCTTTCAAAATCCATGTAAATGGCCCTTCGAAAAAAAATCGCCCAAAAAAATACGAAAATGCCATCCTAAAAGTAATTCCCCAAATTGTTGCTTAATGGACTTAATTGTCGGTGGAGAACATGATCCATAGACTTCACCATCGGTGGAGAATAGCCTCTGGCACGATCCGTGATCCGTAGCCTTCAAAATCTCAAGAAAATGTCATTCGGAAAAATCGTCTGAAATCTATGATGGTACCCCTTTAGAATCTAATAAAAATTGACCCGGAATAAATCCGCCCAAATCGGTGCTTGATTTACTTAATCATCGTTGAAGAATAGCCTCAAGCCGACTCTATGATCTGTAGCCTTCGCCCTTCAAAATCCAAGTAAAATGGCCCTTCGAAAAAAAATTCGCCCAAAAATTTACGAAAATTCTATACTAAAAGTAATTCCCCCAAATCATTGCTGAATGGACTTAATCGTAGGCGGAGAATAGGATCCATAGACTTCACCATTGGTGGAGAATAACCTCAGGCCGAATCACTGTTCTGTAGCATTCAAAATAAATTAAAAAAATGGCATTTCAGGAAAATCGCCCGAAATTTGTGATGGTATCCCTTTGAAATCTGACAAAAATTGACCTAGAATAAATCTGGCCAAATGGGTGCTGAATGGACTTAATAAAACTTGAAAAATAGTCTCAGGCCGAATCTGTGATATGTAGTCTTCAAAATCCAAGTAAAATGGCCCTTCGAAAAAAATCGCCCAAAAATTATGAAAATGTCATCCTAAAAGTAATTCCCCCCAATTGTTGTTTAATAGACTTAATCGTCGGTGGAGAACAAGATCCATAGACATCACCATCGTTGGAGAATAGCCTCTGGCCCGATCCGTGATCCGTAGACTTCAAAATCTCAAGAAAATGTCATTTCAGGAAAATCGCCCGAAATCTGTGATGGTACCCCTTTGAAATCTGACAAAAATTGACCCAGAATAAATCCGTCCAAATTGGTGCTTAATGGACTTAATCATCCTTGAAGAATAGTCTCAGGCCAAATCTTTGATGTGTAGCATTCAAAATCCAAGAAAAATGACCCTTCGGAAAAAAAATCGCCCAATAATTTACGAAAATGTCATCCTAAAAGTAACTCGTCCAAATTGTTGCTTAATTGACTTAATCGTCGGTGGGGAACAAGATCCATAGACTTCACCTCATTGAAGAATAGCCTCCGGCCCGATCCGTGATCCGTAGTCTTCAAAATTGAAAGAAAATATCATTTCGGGAAAATCGCCCGAAATCTATGATGATATACCCCTTTGAAATCTGACAAAAATTGACCCGTAATAAATTCACCCAAATTGGTGCTTAATGAACTTAATCATCCTTGAAGAATAATCTCAGGCCGAATCAGTGATCTGTAGCTTTCAAAATCCAAGTAAAATGGCCCTTCGAAAAAAAAATTGCCCAAAAAATTACGAAAATGTCATCCTAAAAGTAATTTTCCAAATTGTTGCTTAATAGACTTAATCGTCGGTGGAGAACAGGATCCATAGACTTCACCACCGATGGAGAATAGCCTCTGGCCCGATCTGTGATACATAGCCTTCAAAATCGAAAGAAAATGTAATTTCGGGAAAATTGCCCGAAATCTGTGATGATACCCCCTTGGAATCTGACAAAAATTGACCTGGAATAAATCCGCCCAAATCGGTGATTAATTGACTTAATCATCCTTGAGGAATAGTCTTAGGACGAATCTGGGATTTGTAGCCTTCAAAATCCAAGAAAAATGGACCTTAAAAAAAATTGCCCTAAAATTTACGAAAATGTCATCCTAAAAGTAATTCCCCCAAATTGTTGCTTAATGGACTTATTCGTAGGCGGATAATAGGTTCCATAGACTTCACTATCGATGGAGAATAACCTCGGGCCGAATCACTGATCCGTAACATTCAAAATCAAAAGAAAATGACATTTCGGGAAAATCGCCTGAAATCTGTGATGGTACCCCTTTGGAATCTGACAAAAATTGGCCCGAAATAAATATGCCCAAATGGGTGCTTAATGGACTTAATCATCCTTGAAGAATTGTCTCAGGCCGAATATGTGATCTGTAGCCTTTAAAATCCAAGTAAAATGGCCTTTAAAAAAAATCGCCCAAAAAATTACGAAAATGTCATTCTAAAAGTAATTCCCTCAAAATGATTCTTAATGAACTTAATCGTCGGTGGAGAACAGGGTCCATAGATTTCACCATCAGTCGAGAATAGCCTCTGGTAGAATCTGTGATCTATAGATTTCAAAATCAAAATAAAATGGCATTTCGGGAAAATCGGCCGAAATCTGTGATGGTACCCATTCGGAATCTGACAAAAATTGACACGGAATAAATCTTCCCAAATTGGTGCTTAATCGACTTAATCATACTTTAAAAATAGTCTCAGGCCGAATCTGCGATCTGAAGTCTTCAAAATCCAAGTAAAATTGCCCTTCGAAAAAAAATCTCCCAAAAAATTACGCAAATGTCATCCTAAAAGTAATTCCCCAAATTGTTGCTTAATGGACTTAATCGTCAGTGGAGAACAGGATCCATAGACTTCACCACCGATGGAGAATTGCCTCTGGCCCGATCCGTGATCCGTAGCCTTCAAAATCGAAAGAAAATGTCATTTCGGGAAAATTGCCCGAAATCTGTGATAATACCCCTTTGGAATCTGACAAAAATTGACCCGGAATAAATCCGCTCAAATCGGTGCTTAATTGACTTAATCATCCTTGAAGAATAGTCATAGGCCGAATCTGTAATTTAGCCTTCAAAATCCAAGTAAAATGGACCTTCGGAAAAAAAAGCGCCCTAAAATTTACGAAAATGTCATCCTAAAAGTATTTCCCCCAAATTGTTGCCTAATGGACTTAATCGTAGGCGGAGAATAGGTTCCATAGACTTCACTATCGATGGAGAATAACCTCGAGTCGAATCACTGATCTGTAGCATTCAAAATCGAAAGAAAATGACATTTCGAGAAAATTGCCTGAAATCTGTGATGATAAAATTAAAAATTTGCCTCAATTTAGAATTCTATGCAATACGATTTCACAATGAGATTTATAAAATTAAAAAAATTATTATCCAGTATTATAATACAACCTCCTGACTTTTACATTCCGTGTTTCTCTTCTTCCTCCTTTTTCCTTGGGAAACTTCTAAGTGGACCGGTTCTTACATCGTTTTATAGCCCAATTTGACAAAAATAAATATAATAAATTACCAATTTGTGTGGAAAACGCATTCTTTGTCAATATTGATTTTATTTGTCTGAAATAGGAATGTTACATGGCTCATGTCATTCATGAGAAAGAAGAATCACCTTTTTATTAGTATATATTTCTTTCTACCACCTTTTTAGCATATGGAATAAGAATTTTATAGATGGTGTAATGTTTGCACAACATTCCATTCCACTAATCCTTCAAAGTGTTTCCACACCCTTTTAGCAAACATTTCCACCGAATTTCCATACATATGAAAGATTTTAAGAATGTGTTGTCAATTTCCACAACAACTAAGATTCCTTTGTACGTTAATTTCGATGTGATTGAATCAGAAATACCAGTTACGCAACAAATTACCTTGCCAACAGATAAATGTTCCCTATTGACTCGCGTTACGCACTTATGTTGTTGATTGGATTGGTTGCGTTTTTAGTACTGGACAAATTGTAATGTTTCTAGAACCTATCAATCTTTGACTAATACAAATTAGCACATTCATTCCTATCATATTTCACGAAATAATGAGCGAGAAGTTCATGCGAGCCGGAAAAAGACTTATTAATTGATGTGCAACTTAATTTTCTTTGTGTAACTCGACATTACGAGTGACCCTAAATGATTAATAACAATGCCATAGCAATTAATGCTTGCTTGACAAAGTCTCTTACTTCCAAGATCTCATAGCTCAAATTACCATGGAAGGATTAAGGGAGAAGTCTCCTATCGTGTAATTCACGATCTTTTTCTTAAACACGGTTAATTAAGACCATTAATTACCCTTAATCAATGAGGTCAACAACACCGATGACCCATAAACCCAAAAAGTCACACATGTTTGGTGAAAAACTGAAATCCCTGAAATCTGAATACGCGGAAATACAAAGAAGTCACTTTTCCCGGCCGCCTAACAAGAAGAATCAGCGCCCCCCCATCTCCACCCTTCATTCGGCCCTTTCAAAACCTCCCCGCCACGCGTCATCCATCCAACGGCTCACCTTCCCCGCGCCATATCCCACCACCTCGCAGTATAAATTCCCCCGCCGTGAACCCAAATCAGAACCTCAACAAACCATTTCTCTCCAACAAGAAAAACAGAGGAGAAACAGAGCAAAAGGAAAACAGAGCATCCATACAAAAAACAGGGGCGACCAATTTTTCCCCCTCAGAGAACACAACAATGGCGGTGTCGAGATCAAAGACGTTAGCTTTCGCAGCAATCGCGATCGCCGCTCTTCTCCACAGCTCCGTCGCTCAGACTACCCACACCGTCGGAGGAAACACCGGATGGACCATCCCTCAGGGCGGTGATTCTGTCTACTCCAACTGGGCTTCCGGCAATTCCTTCTCCGTCGGAGATATTCTGGGTGAGACTCTGAGTTTAGTTTTTAACTAGGAAAAAGGAGCTCGAAATTCGAAATAGTGCTGAATTCAAGTTCTGATCTTTGTGCCTTTTCTTCTTTCTCTGAAATTTTAGTTTTCAATTTCGCCGCTGGAGCTCACGACGTGACGCAAGTGAACAAGGCGGACTACGACTCCTGCTCGGCGACCAATCCGATGATGACTTCAACGAATACTCCGGCGAGGATCACATTGAACACTTCCGGCGAGCATTACTTCATCTGTGGGGTTCCCGGCCACTGCAGCGCCGGCCAGAAGGTCACCGTCAATGTTCTCGCTTCGACCACTGGTTCTTCTTCTCCTTCTCCGGCTCCCATGGTGATGCCTCCTTCTCCTTCCCCTGCTCCCCGCCGGGCTCTCACCCCTGCTTCTGCTCCATCCCCTGCTCCAACCACCGTCTCTGCCCCGACTCCATCCACCTCCCCTGTCGCCGGAGATGTCCCGTTGTCGGCGCCGGCTCCTTCTGCCAGGACGCCGATGACTTACACGGTCGGCGATTCCTTCGGGTGGAACATTCCCACGAGCGGTGCGAGTCAGTTCCAGAACTGGGCCGCCGGAAAAGACTTCATGGTCGGCGACATCCTTGGTATGTAATACTTAATTAAATTAATAATAATTAATGCAATCAAAATTGAGATTATATATGGGAGTATTTTGGTGATATATAATCATACAAATGTAAGCTTTAGAGTGGAGATTTTGATTACAATTGTAGTGAAAAGTGTGATTCTATGTAAAAAGCGATTAGGTAATGCAAGTTTTAAAACGCGATTTTAACTACATTGATGATAAGTGGTATTGTAATCTTAATTACTATGCCAAGCTTCTTAATTGGGAAATTTACAATTTTTAATTAATGTTGTGAATTTGATTTTTTGCTATGCAGTCTTCAACTACACGGCCGGCGCACACAACGTGGCGGAGGTGACGAGCGACGCCTACACGGCGTGCACCACCGCCAACCCGATCTCTCTGGACAGCAACCCGCCGAGCAGAATCACGCTGACCACCGCCGGCGAGCATTTCTACCTCTGCGCGATTCCCGGGCACTGCTCCGCCGGCCAACAGCTTTCCATCAACGTCTCCGGCGCAGGCAGCACCAGCCCATCGCCGTCAGGGTCGACGACTCCCTCGTCGCCGTCTCCTACCGCCGGTGACATGGCCCCGCCGTCCCCGAACTCCGCCGCCACCGTTGGCGGCGTATCGGCCGCCGCATTTTTGTCCGTTGTCGCAGCTCTTTTGTTGTAAATGGAGTGATCGGTAGAGAATAGAGATGCCTTATTACAGTCGGCGACGTGATACTTTTTGTTTCTTTCGCGTTTCTTTTTGAGATCTGTATTAGTGTGTTGGTTATTGGTTTGTTATATATAGATTGATTTCTCAGATACATTGTATTAATAAAAGGAATTTTTTTTAGCCCAAACATGTGATCTATACAAGTTTGGTCGAGTTACCAATGCTTGCTACATAACCTCACGAACTCTTTACTCCTTCCAAACATTGTACTCCTAGATGAACTATTTGACTGATCGAAGCATCGTGCTCGTTTATAAGTTATTTTGAAGCGTTTCGAGTAGCTCATACTAAACTCTTGATCGAACGACTAAAAATGATACATTAATTGATCGGGACTATGATATTTTTGTTTTGGCTATCCTTTACTTATCTTTCTTGATTTGTATTAGCGTGTTGTTCTAAGTTATTATATAAATTGATTATCCACACATTATATTAATAAAAATATTTTTGGAGCTCAAATCATCAAATACCCACTTTCTCTATCACCTCTAAATACTCACCCATCCGTTCTTCTCACAAGTCATAACATCTTTGAAATTAAATTGTATGGGATCCATCACTTGGCCCATTGTGGGGACCTATCCATGCAAAAACCCATTGATCGACATGATAATGTAAAAAGTCCTACTTTCTAGTTGAATCATCAATCTCAAATCATCCTCAAACAAACATCATCAATTCGTATTGTCTTTGCTTCGGTAATTCCATTCGAAATCAACCAACATGGCACTCATTAGTCCTTCAGGTTACTGATGATCGGATAATTAAGATCTCAAATTTTATAATACTTTACTCCATATGAAAATAAGAAGTCTTCTCAATCGCGATATAGACAAATTATGTGATTTTGTATTAGGTCAATAAAACATATTTGAATTTTGTACGCCTCAAGTCTCCTCTGCGTGATATTAAGTCTATTAACTCAAAAGATCCGATCGAGCTAACCTTAATAAACATCCATACTCTAGGGAAAGTAGACTTCCATACTGACTTACAGACTCATGAATCTTTTATCTCGTTGGCTCACTAACTTAGTATTCTGTTGTAAATTTTCTCAATTTTTAGCCGACTTTGATGTTATTATGATGGTAGTTAATGTTATTACGATGCCCATAATTCTTCCAAAATTCAAACTATTCTAGAAATATGAACATAAATATTATGGAAGAAATAGTCCTCTTAGTGGTAAATTAGTCACAGTCTTATTGGTAAACATGTGTGCATAATTGATGACTATTAAAGACCAAGCAATAATTAAAAAAGCTGACCCATGAGGCCATGACCCATAAGTCACTAACCGAATAGCTTCTCTCACGCGGAAACCCAAAAACGAACCGGTCACATCCTCTTGCCGCCTTAAGAGAAGAATCAGCGCCCATCTCCACCGTCCATTAAAATATCTCGCCACGCGTCGCCCATCGGCGGCCCACATCCACACACCAAAATTGCTCTATATAAATTCGCCGGACATTAATAATCCTCACCGCACATTCATTCACTTCTCTGTAGAAAAAACAGAGCATCCATTAACAGAACAGGGGCGACCACTTCCTTCCCTCAGAGAACACAACAATGGCGGTGGCTACAACAAAGACCTTAGCTTTCGCAGCAATCGTGCTTGCCGCTCTGCTCCACAGCTCTGCCGCTCAGAGTACCTACACAGTCGGCGGAACCACCGGCTGGACCATCCCTCAGGGCGGCGATTCAGTTTACACCAATTGGGCCTCCGGCAATTCGTTCGCCGTCGGTGACATTCTCGGTGAGTTCACTAAACTTCAATTGATGTTACTACGAACAACATAGGCGTTGAATTAGCGAATTTAAGATTCTAATTCTCTTTTCCCCCCTTCCCCCCCTCACAATTAGTGTTCAATTTCGCCGTCGGAATCCACGACGTGACGCAAGTGAGCAAGGCGAACTACGATGCCTGCTCTGCATCCGACCCGATGCTGATTGCGACAACGAGTCCGGCCAGAGTGACGTTGAACTCCTCCGGCGAGCATTACTTCATCTGCGGCTTCCCCGGCCACTGCAGCGCCGGCCAGAAGGTCACCGTCAACGTCCTCGCTTCCACCTCTGCTCCCTCTCCGGCGCCCATGGCTTCTTCTTCCCCTGCTCCGCGCCGAGCTCTTACCCCTGCCTCCGCACCTTCCCCTGCCTCCACCGCCTCCGCTCCGACCCCGTCGACTTCCCCTGTTTCCGGCGATTCCCCGTCGTCGGCGCCGGGTCCTTCCGCCAGGCCGCCGATGACTTACACCGTGGCGGATTCTTTCGGGTGGAACATTCCCAGGAACGCTTCTCTGTTCCAGAGCTGGGCCGCCGGCAAGGACTTCATGGTCGGCGATGTCCTCGGTAAGTACTAAGTAGTACTTGATTAAACTAATTGTGATATTAAAATCGAAATTCCCCGATTTTCCCACATGCTTATTGCTGTTGGGATCTTCAATTATCATACTAATTTTTTAAAATTGGGAATTAACGTTGTGAACTTCTTTTGCCGGCAGTTTTCAACTACTCCGCCGGCGCTCACAACGTGGCGGAGGTGACGAGCGACGCCTACGCGGCGTGCACCACCACAAATCCGATATCTCTGGACAGCAGGCCGCCGAGCAGAATCACGCTCACAACTCCCGGCGAGCATTTCTACCTCTGCGCAATTCCCGGCCACTGCACCGCCGGCCAGCAGCTATCCATCAATGTCACCGGCGAAGCCGGCGGTGCTTCCCCATCGGGGTCGCCGTCTCCCGGTTCGGGCGACATGGCCCCGCCGTCGCCCAACTCCGCCGCGTCCCTCGCCGGAGTGTCGGCCGCCGCGCTTTTGTCGGTTTTCGTAGCTCTGCTGTTTTGAGTGGACTGAGTAGCACTAGTAGTAAAGCGCGTGAAATCTTCTTCCTTTTTTCTCCCTTTTGGCTCTTCGATTATCTCCTTTGTGCCTTTGTTCATTGTTGTTGACTAGTTATAGATAAGATATGAATGATTTTATCACATATTGTATTAATAAAATTCATTTTCTAGCCTCGATGAATGCAGATTTCCCAATGAAACAATGTAGAAACCTGAGAATAAATCATAATTTAGTTTTCGAGAAATGAATCAGCGATCTGATTATATATTTGAATTGATAGAAATATGGACTTTAACGAAAGTATTTTCCATGAGAACTTAATAGTTCGATTGATTGGTTCTCCAAAATCTCGTGATCATATTCATTAGGTTCATCATATATGTAGTTGCCGGATGTTAAATTCTATTATAACAACTCCAAGACAGGATAATTGTGTTTTAAAGTTGATTACTTAGCCAAATCATGTCAGATTACGCTTTTATAGTACCTACATTTACAATCAGCCAAGTGTCTAGTAACCTTTTGAAAGTCAAAGCTCTTGAGAATGGCTTAAAGGGTTTATCGTGCCTTGCTTTGCATCAATCCCTTTTGGGGGTGGGGGAAGTTGAGATAACATGAACTTGGTACTATGATGAGATGAGAGCTTTCTCTCTTTTTTCCCCTCACTTTGGTGACTATCAATCAAAAGGAATCCTTTCTTTAGGAAACTTTCTAAACTAATGGGTCGATTAGATGATAAAATCGGATGAAATAATTTGACCCAATTACACAAAAAATAAAGTAATTGTATCAAGTTTCATTGTTTGGGGAACAGAAAATTTGGAATGCAGCAGTCGGGCCGAGACAATTTGAAGTGCTCCATTTTGCATCAATCTGAATTGATAGAGGAAGGGGGCAAGCATTTTGAAATGATACATCAATTGTGATATGAAGTACTTTCTTCGTCCAGACGACCTCTAAGTGGTTTGCTTGTTGGATTTGAAAACAAGAGTTTTGAATTTTGAAAATCTGCGGCATATTTGACGTATTATGTAATTGAAGGAGCCCATTGTTTGTGTAGTTAATTATTTTACCATGGACTTATATCTTTCTGTATCAAGGTTTTCTCCACTCCACGAAGTTAGCTTCCAATTGTTCAATCCAACAAACAAGAGAATTACTTAAACTCATCATGCTCGAAATTTGGGTGGCAAATCCATCATCCAAATCCAATGAGCAGAGATCAACTCTAACCTCTTTTCTTTTCAAGGCTCATCTCACTATCAAACTTGTCATCCATGTGGTGAGGGGAATCCACCAAGGCCAGAGAAAAGGGAATGACAAATGAGATATGGGGTCAAAGTAATGGAGTCCATTCACTTCACAAAGAGGGGTTAGGTTGCATAGGAAACTATACAAAGAGGACAAAAGGGTATGGCCCTTCCTCCATAACAATATCTTTGCAAAAATATCAACAAAGTAGGGTTCTTTTTCACTATTGTCGTTTTCATGGATTGGATTCTTCAGGAAAGAGTTAATTAGGGTTGGTGGTGGCCCGAATAATTGCCGGAAGTTTGAGAGGCCGGTAGACTTGGAGTTGGAGCTACCCGTTTTTATCCACCCATAGCTAATGTCGATTCAAGGACTTGTACTATGGTTGGTTAGTTCCACAAGGACAACATGGTAGTGAAAGGTTAGAATACATGTCATAATGATGATGTGATTAGGTCATAGTATGCGGCCGGTCGGTCGGTGGGTATGGCTCGGTTCGGTTTAGAATTGAATCGCAAATTCAGTTATGTCTAGGTCTGCTCGTGAAATGGACGACATTATTAGGTATTTAGGTTTGCTCTTTGCGAGGATTTTTTTTTCCCGACGACGACTCGCATCACACCATGAAGATGAGTTTTGTGACATGAGTTCGGGATTTTTTTATCATTCATATTGAGCAAGTATTTTGAAATTGTGGCGAATTTGTATGTTAATAGTTAATGAGATTATCATGAGTTGTGACTTGTGAGTTCTGTGATATTAATAATAATTATTTTTTTTAAATGCATTTTAGAAAACGAGCCAACGAAACAAGGAACCTTTACTACGCCAGACAATGTTTTCTAAATCGTACCCTCCCGTTCGGGTGGATCGGGAATACAGGGTGCTGGATCTCAAATCGATAGATGGTTTTAGCAAACATCATATCTAGTAAAAAAAATATTTAATCTAACAAACTAATGATTTTTATCAACAAACCAATTCATAACGTATAGATTTTCGCACCCCTCATAAGTTATAAATCGATTCACTCATAAGTCGCTAGTAAAATCAAACCGACTCGCTAGCCACATTATGAGTGAGCTCGTGAACTCAACAGCTCACAACTTGAACTCAACACAAGCCACCGACTCGTGAGACTTGCAAGATTAAAAACGCATGATTCAACTTCGACTCGTTGGTAGACGAGCCGAGTGCCAAACAAGCTTTTTCTCGAACCGAACCCCGTCGTCCTGAGAGTCTGGGCTCATTTAGCACTATATAAAAAAAGGCCAAACTTCCTGAAAGAGGATATGGCGGGCCAAAAGAAATAATGGCCCGTTTCTCTTTTGGGCCTGACTGAACCGGGCCTATTGGGTTCATAATATCCTCATTTTTTTTCCTCCTCCCTAATTTGAAACTTTTGGCTCTTGGAATCTTGTGAAAACGAGCCAAATCCGGAGCAACAAAAGTCAATATGACGTACGACGAGACGACAGCAGAGACAAACGGAGCGGCCATGGACTCCGACACATAACAGATTTCCTTCTCTTCCCCCCCAGCCATTTTTCCTCCCATAACCTCCCTCGTCTCCCCCCGAGACAAACAACGGATGTCTCTCGCCGGAACGCCGCCGCATCCCGCGGCGGACTCCTCCCCATGGGAATGCATGCTCCCCGGCCCGCCGTCCCGCAACAACTTCGGCTCCGTCGACATTTCCCCCTCCGGCCTCCTCGCCTTCCCATCCGGATCCTCAATCTCCGTCGTCGACTCCCGCTCCCTCCAGCACATCTCCACCATCCCGCTCCCCGCCCCTTCTTCCCCCTCCTCCTCCTCCGCCTCCGCCGCCGCCGCCGCTCTCTCCCCGTTCGTCACCTCCGTCCGCTGGACTCCCCTCCCCCTCAGCCGCGACCTCCTCGTCACCGAGCCGTCCTCCTCCCACCTCATCCTCGCCGTCGGGGACCGGCACGGCCGGATCGCGCTCGTCGACTTCCGCCACAAATCCGTCCTCCTCTGGCTCGATTCCTCCGATTCCGCCTCCAAGTCCGGAATTCAGGACCTCTGCTGGATCCTATTCCGCCCCGACGCCTACATCCTCGCGGCGATCTCCGGCCCCTCGACGCTCTCCCTCTACAACGCCACCACGGGACACTGCTTCTTCAAGTACGATTCGACTCCCGAGCTCCTCTCCTGCGTCCGCCGCGATCCGTTCGATCCCCGGCATTGCTGCGTGATTGGACTCAAGGGCTTCCTGCTCTCCATCGTGGTGCTGGGAGAAGCGGAGGACGAGGTTGTGGTCGAGGTGCTTCGGATTCCTACCGATTGCACGGAGTTTCTGAAGCTCGAGAGGGATGCTGCCAGCAATGGATCGTCCTCCTCCTCCACGCCAGCGGCGGCCGCCTTCCCGCGGTACTCCGTGAAGCTGACGTTCTCGCCGCAGTGGAGGCACATTCTGTTCGTGACGTTTCCTAGAGAACTGGTGGTTTTCGATTTGCAGTATGAGACCGCGCTTTCCAGTTCTTCCCTGCCGAGAGGGTGCTCCAAGTTTCTGGATGTGTTGACGGATCCGAACAGCGACTTCTTGTACTGTGCGCACTTGGATGGCAAGCTAAGCGTCTGGCGGCGAAAAGAGTAAGTTGTTTCTTTATGATTCATCAGGTGTTTGGTTCAGTAGGAACGTTTGAATTGCTTGTGGGGAGCAAATAGGGAATTCAGTATGACTGAAGCAAATGAGGAATTCAATGTGACTGATGGTTGTAGGCACTGAGAATCTCTAGTTTTCCTTCTAGGTGATGGAGTGAATATAATGGCTTTCCATAGCAAGAAATAGGTCTGCTTTGCCGAGTTCCTAGTTAATTGTCTTTGCAAATGGAAGAGTTAATGAAACACCAAAGGGAGCAAGGTTGGTGTTCTAGCATTCCGTTAAAGGACAATTCGGATATTGGCAGGTCCATCTGAATGGCGTTCTAGTACTGGAAAAATGTTGCTTCATTGCTCATGATCTAGGAAAGATTCGTTTACTAGAACCAAAGTTAGAGCTCAAATGAATTCTTTTGACGTGGGGAGAGCCGTTATTTTCACTTTTGAATGGCTGGTAGGGATGTGAAATGTGGTTAATGAGATCCTAATGAAAGATCCAAAAGGTTGTTTATGAACTGCTTTCAATCTTAATTTCTATTTTGTTTTACCGTATCTGGAATTTTTTCTCAATACTAAATGGCTTAAAGCTGATACTTACATTCGCCACTGCGCATTGTTGGGATCAAATTGCTTTTACCTGTTATATTCTAGTTCTTTGAAGCGATAGGCTGGTTACTCATTCTGCTATCATTAGCATATTGCCACTGCCTAAACTTACTCCTGCGGTCATTCAATTTTGATGCACGTGTACTGAGCATGAGAGCCTCCCTGGTCCGAACCTTTCTATCTGTCCATTGGGTTTTTTTTTACCTTACTTGATTAGATTTGTATTTTGTTGTTACTTTTGAATTTTGATATGCATAGCTTAATTCACAATCTCTCTCTCGCTCTCTTTTTTCCTTCAAAAAGAGGAGAGCAGGTGCACTTATGTTGTGCAATGGAAGAACTAATGCCTTCAATCGGCTCTTCTGTTCCTTCGCCGTCATTACTTGCTGTAACCATCTGTCAATCAGAGTCAACGCTCCAGAATGTTGCCAAGTTATACCGGGATGTGCCTAACACTCCTCAGACCAAGGATTTTGATAATCCTTTTGATTTCTATGAGGAGACTCAACTTATTTCTAAGTCACACATGATTTCAATTTCTGATGATGGCAAAGTATGTAATTGGCTTCTGACTGCTAAAGAGATAGTAGAAAGGGATGTCGAGGTTATCCCATACACAGGAGAGGATGCTGATGGTATAGCTTCCACTGACGGTATCAACCTGGAAAGAAACAAGCAGCAGGAAAATTTGAGCGGCAATAAAGGTCGGTCATCATCTGTTGCCAGTGAGGAGAATACAACATTCAAGGCAAGGAATCTCTTGCTCCCCTTTCTTATTCTTAAAATTTTGGAATTTCAGCTTTTATCTTAGATCCTTACCTAAGAGCATTTGAGAATGGTCTTTCTTCGAAATGTAAGCTAAATGGTGATTGCGTACTTAATACATAGCCTTTGCCACCCATATTGGCTTACTCATTTCTTGCATCTAAAATCATCTACATTTTGAAGGTTCTTAAGTGTGTGTATTAATTGAGCATAATCATTATCTTCCTAATAGGGGTTTCTTATTTTGCTTGGACCTGTTAGCTAACGTTTCCAAGCTCGTATGTAACTAGACTTCTGTAAGAAAGCTGTCAAATTGTTAGGATGAAGAGCCTTCAAAGAAAATTAAGTGCATCCATCAGGGGGAGCTAATTAGGCAATGGCTTAAGATGCTTGCTTTTCTTAGGTGGTACAAACAGTGAAAGGACTAGTTAATGTAGCATATTTACAATGCTAAGCACTGGTTACTGTAGCACATTTGTGATGCTAAGTCCATGAGGTCTTTATTACTTGTCAAGAGTGTGAGAAGTAACATGCTAATTGTTTTTTTTCTTCTTCTTGTTTTCACTTGTTATTGTGGGGAACGAACTAAACCCGTTTTGTTCTTTCTGGATCATTTACGCGAACTAACGAGACCAATAACGGCATGCAGATATGCTTGGTTGGGCAGTTGCAGCTTCTTTCTTCAACATTAACAATGCTGGCGGTGCCATCTCCTTCTCTAACAGCTACTTTAGCTCGTAAGTCTCATCTTTCTGCTTTTATTTGTTTCATTTCCAGTATTGATTACTTTTTTGAGTTAGCAGTACCTTTAGAGCTGCTACTGCCAATTGTTTAATGAGGTGATACCTAAATTGGAAACAAATTGGTTAATGAGATAATATCACGCAGGTGGGGGAAATTATCCTGCTGTAGCTATCCCACTTGTTGCTTTAGGAACTCAGAGTGGAATGATTGATATTGTTGATGTCTCTGCTAATGCTGTTGCGGCTAGTTTTTCTGTTCACACAAGCGCAGTTCGTGGTCTGCGATGGCTTGGAAACTCTAGATTGGTTTCATTTTCTTACAATCAGGTGCAGATCTATCTAATTTTTTGTCATTACTTAATCACGGCATTGTAAACTTGAATATGTTCTATCCTGCCATTTCAACACTTTTTACATGTTGGAGCCAGGCTAATGAAAAAACTGGAGGTTATGTCAATAGGCTTGTCGTGACCTGTGTTAGAAGTGGCCTTAACAGACCATTTCGAGTTTTACACAAGCCAGAGCGAGCACCAATTAGAGCTTTACGGGCTTCTTCATCAGGAAGGTAACTGGAAAGTTCAAATGTTGATTAACTTATATCTATAATGCCTTCCAACCGCATGGTTGATATATCATAACATTTTTCTTATTTTCATCTCAAATTGTGCGGTTGTCAAATTTAGGTACCTCCTTATTTTGTTTCGTGATGCACCCGTGGAAGTTTGGGCAATGACAAAAAGTCCCATTATGGTTTGTTGTCAAATACCTTCTCTTTTCATATTCTCCAATTGGTTACATTTTAACTGTTTATGTTATTACCAGCTGCCTTAATTCTATCAAGGTGTGAATTTGGTTACAAATAGCATATTCTAGTATACGAGAAAACTCTATCTGTTTCGTCTTGCATATCTATTTTAATATCCTTCAGCTCTTTTATTTCTCACCTCCATGTAATTCTTAATAGGAAGTTGTTAACTAACTATAGTTTTGCTCAGCAAATTAATCTTGGGTTTCCCAGACCTTAGCCCCATTATGTAGACTTTTGTTTCTCAGTCATCCATGCTGCCTTTTCAGTCTTCTTCCTAAATAGTTCCTTTTTCCCTTTACTCTTCTTTTGGGGTTCTAACTTCTATGTGCTGGAGTCCTGAGATTTTGACATTTTCTTCAACCCCCTAAGGTCTTCTCCTGTTGGCTTCTTGTAGTTTGTTCTTTTCATTTTGATATGTCAAATTGCTTCAACTGTCAAGACTCAAGAGGAACATGTAGATGGAAGTAATGTTGGTATGAAGTTTAACAATACTTCTTTTGACAAATGCTTATTAGTCATCAATATCTCTGTAGCTTAGATCATTAGCTCTTCCATTCACGGTGTTGGAATGGACCCTTCCAACCGTTCCAAAGCCAGTCCAGAATGGTCCTTCTACGCCAAAAGCAAAGGAAGGTACACCTAGAGCATCAGATGGATCATCCACCCCAAAAGCGACTTCATCAGAATCTAGTGAGCTTTCAAGCAGAAGTATTTTTTATGATCTTTTTATTAGTCCGAGTGTCTAAAAGTATCTGGATAGTTTTCTTTGTTTATAAAAGACTGCCCCTGAATATGGAAGTAGCTTTTATGTGCAGCAGCTGCGAGCTCAGATACATCTCAAGATGAAGCCGCAGAAAGCTTTGCATTTGCACTTGTGAATGGAGCACTTGGAGTTTTTGAGGTTCACGGACGGAAAATCCGAGATTTTAGGTATGTGCTGTCCATTTCTACATGGTCAAAAGAACTATGTGGGTTTCTAGGATACTGCTACTCAATTTCCTTGCCGTGCTAAGGTATTAGTGATGCTTTCTGTAGTGCTTTCCTTGCTTATAATGTTTCTTCTGGTTTCTTTTCCTCGTGTTAGACCAAAATGGCCTTCTTCTTCATTTGTTGCATCCGATGGACTAATCACAGCAATGGCCTACCGGTTGCCTCATGTGGTATGCACAAAGGCTCAGTCTGCCAGGTTAATCACAGTTTGGTTCTTCCCCGATTATCATTTTTGATGCAGTGACTGAATATTTCTCAGGTAATGGGGGACAGAACAGGGAACATAAGGTGGTGGGATGTAACAACTGGGTCATCTTCATCATTTAATACTCACCGAGAGGGGATTCGAAGGCTTAAGTTCTCTCCTGTAGTCCCTGGAGATCAAAGCAGAGGCCGGATAGCTGTGCTTTTCTATGATAATACATTTTCTGTATTCGATCTTGTAAGTTTGAAACCCTTCCAATTGACAGATCTTATCATGCATTTCCTAGGTAACTGCATGAACCACTCTTGCCTAGTGTCATTCAGATTTCTGTTTGAAATGCAGCCTATGGATGGATAAGATTTATTGATGTGCAATTTTCATGTATTTATTGATTTCTATTGTGTGTGTTTATTTTTTACTTCAATGTGCAGGATTCACCAGACCCGTTAGCTAATTCCCTTCTCCAGCCCCAGTTTCCTGGAACTTTAGTGTTGGAACTCGATTGGTTGCCCCTGAGAACAGATAAACATGACCCTCTGGTATTGTGTATTGCTGGAGCTGATAGTAGCTTTCGCCTTCTTGAAGTTAATGTGTATGTTCCACCTTAAACAAGGAATCAGTTTATATTTTATGCTACAAACTATCCAAACCTGATCATTCAGTATTACATTCGACTCTAGGAGTTTGACATGGTAAACGACATAATTAATGTATTGTATTTCATAATTTTCCCTAAGAAATTATAAGTTAAGATCTTTTTGGAGAATAATTCACTATGCATAGACTAACTTGGGAAAGAATTTTGAAGTTAAGATTTTTTTATGATATTTGATGCTTAAACTATTGATGATGCTGTATATGCAGGCAAGATAAAAGACATGGCTATATACCTCAGCCTCAGCCAGTTAAAGAGAGATTCCGCCCTGTTCCCATTTGCTCTCCCATACTGCTACCTACTCCCCATGCACTGGTAATTATAATTCTTCTCTGGTGATTTTATCTTTCCCGTGTGAAGCCTTTATTGACCCAAAAGCAGCCTGTCTACTTCTGATGTTGTTTTTATTGCAGGCTTTGCGAATGATCTTGCAATTGGGTGTGAAGCCTTCATGGTTTAATACTTGTAGCACAGCCATTGATAAGAGACCACAGTCAATTCCTGAGGCTTCTTCATCAGCAGGAGATTTACGTAGTTACATGATCGATCTACCAGCTATTGGCGATTCTGTGGTGCCAGAAATGCTCCTTAAAGTCTTGGAACCATATCGAAAAGAAGGTGTTTATTATATTATTATTATTATTTTCTTCTTCTTTAATGTTTGTTCCCCCTTCGCTCATCTTTTAGTCAGTCTGATTGCTTACCTTTACATATTTCCCAGGCTGCATACTTGATGATGAAGTAGCAAAACTCTATGCAACTGTGGTAAATAAAGGTTCGGCTGTAAGGTTTGCATTTGCAGCTGCTATTTTTGGCGAAGCCTCAGAAGCACTCTTCTGGATGCAATTGCCTCGTGCTGTGAAGCATTTGATGAGCAAATTAGTTAGCAAGTCACCGTTGAAATCTGCACTGTCGGCAACAGTGGCAGAGCTAGATGGTGCAGTTATGTTGACCAGAATCATCTCGAGGGAGAAGTCATTGGTTACTATGGGGAATACGGACTCGTTGGTGAGAGAGATCTAGGATATTTTTTAATGCTTGTTCTTAAATTTAATTTCTTCTGTTACTTGAATGTAAAGTGACATTGTTTTGACTTTGCTATCTTTGTAGCAGAATCAGGGTCAACTTAGATTAATGGCTTTTCAGCAAGAAGAGTTGTGGGAGAGTGCCAATGAGCGTATTCCTTGGCACGAGAAACTGGAGGGAGAAGCAGCCATGCAGAATCAAGTGCACGAGTAAGTCTCTCTCATCTCCAACGAATTATGTTTTGGGGAAACAGGTAGCATTCTAGTAAACCAGGTGAATTACCTCATTAATTCTTCACTTCATTAACAGACTCGTGACGGTTGGGAACTTAGAAGCAGCTGTTAGTTTGTTGCTTTCCACTCCTCCAGAGAGCAACTACTTCTACTCGAATGCCCTACGTGCAGTGGCTCTTTCTTCTGCTGTGTCCAAGTCTCTCCTTGAACTTGCAGTCAAGGTGAGAGCTAGTGTCTTTGGAGCTGCATAGACCCACGGAGAAATAAACTTCAACGTAACTTTTCAGTGACGCTATGCTATCGTATGATCATCTTAGGTTGTTGCAGCCAACATGGTCAGGACTGACAGATCACTCTCTGGTACTCATCTACTTTGTGCTGTTGGAAGGCATCAAGAAGCATGTTCACAGGTTTAGTTCTATTTGCTTATCATCTCTTGTACATTCACGTCATCTTATTCCTCGGTCTCTTGTTCACCAAATTGAAAAGGCAGAACGCACGAGAAAGTAAGTAGGCAAACATTTCAGCTCTGGGAGAGCACTGAATATCGTATATACACATCTGTACATTACTCGTGCAGCTGCAAGATGCTGGGTGCTGGACTGATGCTGCAACTCTGGCAGCTACTCATTTGAAAGGATCAGATTATGCAAGGGTGCTGCAGAGGTGGGCAGGCCATGTTCTTCACACGGAGCACAATGTCTGGAGGTACACATCGCTTTTTCATCCATTTCAAAGCTTCGTTGTTGGCCATCTCCGGATAACTTTCCTCGCCTATATCACGAGCCTTCTTGATAACAATGTAGGGCACTTATACTATACGTTGCTGCCGGTGCTTTGCCCGAGGCATTGGCAGCACTCCGCGAAGCGCACCAACCCGATACAGCTGCCATGTTCATCCTTGCCTGCCGTGAAATCCACTCCGAAATCCTCACGAATTCGGAGGACGAACTAGATGGCCCGTCAGTCAAGGATCCGCCGCCTAACTTGCCTGGTTTAGACCCGGAGAACGAAGATGTTTTGGTCGTCGGTGAGTACTTCGGACAGTACCAAAGGAAACTGGTGCATCTCTGCATGGATTCGCAGCCATATTACGACTAAATCTCGGCCCTTCTCTTTCAAGTGTCGAGGGCCAACTTCCCGTCGGGGTGGTTAAAAGTGGCCACCAACGAACCATTACTACTAGAAGTAGCAACTGATGCGAGATTCATCGCTATCAACGGCAGCAAACATTCCTGCTGCAAGGATGAACCGCTCATTGTTGCCAGTGTACTTCGGCTGCCACCGGAGTTTTTGCAGGTAGATCGTCATTTCGACATAATCGATTATGACGGAAGGTAAATTGTTTTATAGCTTCATTCTTTTTGCAACAACAAAGAGGTTGTTGCGATTGCCTTTTGTGTATTTTCTTTTCCCCTGCTAAGACCAAATTCTTGAGATGGTTCCAAATTCCAATATGATGCTTTATTGTGGCGGGAAATTTTGAGAATTTATAATCTTGTACCAGTGCCGGGCTCCCGCCAATTGTAAAATGGGCCTTCTAGCCCAGTTTCGGCCCATCTTCATCACCCCAACAGATTAGGATTCTTTCTTTCCTTTTCCGAATCCGATTCTGAATTCCTTCACCGGCTATATAAGGCTTCAAGTAATTGCCTATTTCCATTCGCTACATCCATTCCAAAGAGAAATCAGAAATCACAGTTTCGTTCTTCTCTCTCGCGATTCGCCGCCGATCGAAGATGCAGAAGGCTACGCTACAAGCTCTCTACGTCCCGCCTCACAAACTAGTCGCAGCGAATAACTCCGTCGGCCGGAGCGACGACGAAGCCTACCAGAGACTCGCCTGGGAAGCTCTGAAGAAGAGCATCAACGGCCTGATCAACAAGGTCAACTCGTCGAACATCGGCAACGTCATCCCGGAGCTCTTCGCCGAGGACCTAATTCGCGGCGCCGGCCTCCTGTGCCGATCCTGCCTCAGATCGCAGATGGCCTCCCCGTGCTTCACCGACGTGTTCGCCGCGGTAATCGCCGTCGTCAACTCCCGCATCCCGGAGATCGGAGAGCTCCTCCTGAAGCGGATCGTCTGGCAGCTCAACAAATCGCTCCGCTGCAACGACAAGCCCCGGCTCCTCGCGCTTGCGAAGTTCGTCGCGCACCTCGTTAACCAGCGAGTCGCGCACCACACACTCGCACTCGAGCTGCTCCACCGCCTGCTCGAAAACCCTAGCGACGACGGCGTCGAGCTCGCGGTCGCCTTCCTGACGGAATGCGGAGCGCTCCTTCACGACCTCTCGCCGAGAGGACTGGCCGCGTGTTTCGATCGATTGCGCGACGTCCTGCACGAGGGGGAGATCGACAAGCGAGTGCAGTTTCTGATCGAAGGCCTGTTCGCAATTCGAAAGGCGAATTTCAGAGGTTACCCTGCGATTCGGCCCGAGCTGGATCTCTTGGAGGATGACCAGCAAATCACTCATGATGTTTCTCTCGACGATTCGGGCGTCGATCCGGAGCTAGGTCGGAATGTGTTCAAATTCGACCCCGACTATGCTCTACATGAGTCCCAATTCGAAGCGAAAAAGAAGAGCATTCTCGGCGATCAGGACGAAGAAGAAGAAGAAGAAGAAACATCCACCGGTTCAGAATCTGAATCCGACGAATCGGAAGAAGAAGATGATCTCGAGATCAAGGACAAGACCGAGACAGAAGCAGTGGAGCTCCGTCGGACCATCTACCTGACGATCATGAACAGCCTGAGATTCGAGGAGCTCGGACACAAGCTGCTCTCCCTGAACATTGCACCAGGGCAGGAGCTGGAGATTTGCAGGATGCTAGTGGAGGCTTGTGCACAGGAGAAGACCTACAACCGGATTTACGGTCTCGTAGCCCAGCGGCTCTCGATGATTCGCCTAGCCTACCGGGCCAATTTCGAGAGGTGCTTCGCCGAGCAGTACTCGACGAGTCACCGGCTAGAGACGAACAAGTTGAGAAATGTGGCCACATTGTTCGCGCACTTGATTGCTACGGATGCATTGCCGTGGGATGTTTTGGGATATGTTCGGCTGACCGAGGAGGACACGAACTCGTCGTCTAGGATCTTTGTGAAGTATCTGTTTCAGGAGATGACGGAGCAGCTGGGGATTCGGAAGCTGAACGAGAGGCTGACAGAGAATGCTGCTGTGCTGGGGGATTCGATTTTTCCCAAGGATAGTACGAGGAACGCGAGGTTTTCGATCAACTTCTTTACGCAGATAGGGCTTGGTGGGCTGACTGAAGGGATGAGAGAGCATCTGAAGGAGATGGAAAGAGTCGCCAAGGAAGATCGAGAGAAGAAGCTTGGTGGTTCAGATTCGGAGTCGGAGGTGGAGGAGTCGAGCTCCGATGATGAAGGTAGAGATCGAAAGAGGAGGCGAAGAAAGAGCGACGGAAGAGACAGGAAAAGAAGTAGGAGAGGTTGAAGAATGCAGCAGCCTATCAGACAAACAGACATTTTTTCTGCAACTTGTAAATATGTTAACAGTCACCTAAGGAAATTGTTTCAACAATTTCATAACATGTTTTTCATTCGATTCTAACAAAGTTCTTTTCCAATTTCAATTTCGAATTTGAAATCCGCAATAACTCATTCTCGTCGATGTTCTTAAAACAAATCTCGAATAATCAAACTACTTGCTCATTTCTTCTTGAATAGGTAAAGCGCCACCAGCCATTCTTCGCCATTGTTGTACCTAAAGAGCTCTGCCACTGCCATGAAGAACGTCCGCCAGTAGACAGTCCACTTCACAGCCTGATCCTTGCCGTAGGTGGACTCCATTATCGGCTTGATGGAACCCATGTTCTTGTCCATCCTTTTCAGCCACTCCTCACTGCAAGCATTCAGTACGGTATCGATTAGCATTCGGTACAATGTTGGAGGAGAAAGCTAAGCAAATCAGTTCTGGGTATTCTATGTAAGAAAATTCTCAGGCAATTATGCATCCTCACCTTGTCTGGGCATAATGATTACCATTCACAAGCCATTGATCTACAACTGAGACATTATCCTACACGCAAAATACGTTTCAACTCTGTTAGAAGTAAGGCAACTATAACAGCGATCCAGGTTGCCTAAACCGTGATCCGAATTGGGAGATAGATCGAAATTTCACCTGGAAATAGAGCAAGAGATTAGCAGAAGGCATTGTGCCTCCACTGAAGAAGTACCTAGCCAGCCAATCCTCCTCTTGAGTATCCTGAACAAAAACAAGCAGAAACTCGTGTTTGTAGCAGCGAATCAAAGCCTACCACAGTCAGCAAACTTGGGTTGAAAGCCATAGGTACCTCAAAATGATATGGAAACACCTTGTGGCAGAAGTGATGGACGAAAAGGCGACCGTCTTGTTTCATCCACTTGGATATCTTTCCAAGCAGATCTCTGTAGTTCTTCATATGCTGTTTTGCACAAAAGTACAGTTAACAAACCTATGATCTCCTGACAAAGCAGGGACAAAGGGCACTACATTACCTCAAACATCTCGATCGAGTATATTCGATCAAAGGAAGCCTCCATTTCAAACTTGCTAATATCAGCAACATGTATCTCTACATTCTGCAACTGGCGATCCCTATCGGAAACCAAAAAGAAAGAGAAGGGGAGAAACTCAAATCAACCTGAATTTCCTCCCATTCTTGATGGCATGGCTACAAGTCGATAACAAGGTTGGGGAGCGAACAGTATAGCATACCGACATTGGTCCTCGATGAACGCTTTCTGAGTCGTGGAATTGCAGATCCCAGTGACCTTACAGTTACTGTACTTGGACGCAATGTAGAGGACGAGCGAACCCCAACCGCACCCGATATCAAGCACGGTCTGTCCATCTTTCAGCTCCGATCTCTCGCAGTACAGTTCCAGCATCGCCGCCTCAGCATCCTCCAGTGTACTTCCCTTGTCAGAGAAATAGCAGCAACTGCAAGAAAAAGCAAAAACAGTTAAACACAAGTTCTCACATATATGTGACGAGATGAGTTCGCCGAGCAAACCCAATTGAGCTATCTACCTGTACTTGAGGTGCTTCCCCAAAGCGAGGCGGAAGAACGAGGTGGGGACTTCGTAGTGCTGTTCTTTCGGCTTCTCTGTCTGGACAGCAATAGGCATCTCCTTCAGAGCTGCAAACCACAACAACAACAGAAAAAACAAGCAAGACAAGACAACCCTCAAGTTGGAATCCAAACAACAAAACAGAAGAAACCCACACACAAAAAAAAAAACCAGGGTGAAATTGAGTTGATGATAATAGTTACAATGCACGAATTGGAGGAGCTGGGAGAGCTGGAGCTCTGCAGAAGCCTTGTAACCCCAACGAAGGCGAACCCCGAGAAGAAGGCGGGTGAGGCGCCGGACGACGGCATCCGGCAGCAGATTGCGCTCCAAGGAAGACAACATAAGCTTGACTGTAGCGTCGTAAGGCATCTGGATTAGACCCTCCATTTTTCCGGGCTGCAATGGCGGAATCTGAGAGCAGTTTCAAAGGGGATAAGGCTGCCTGTCAATAATAAGGCATTTTCTATACGCAGAGATGGATTTTTTTTTTGGCTCCATTCGGAAGGGGATCAATCAACAAACATGGGAAAGAATCAAACAGCACAAAAAAGAACTTCTGTACAGAGAAATGAATGCTTTGGCTGGATTCGGACGGGAATCAACAAACATGGGAAAGAATCAAAACAGCACAAAACACTTCTATACAGAGAAAAGAAGCTACCTTGGATATAAATCGGACCAAAAAAGCTCCCTCTCCTTCTGTCTCTTTGCTCTAATTGAATGGTGTAAGGATGGTCAAGTGTGAGCCATGGCCGTGGAAGGAGAGAAACAGAGCACTGCTCTTCTCTTCTTTCCTCTCCAGAAATGGAGGATCCACCAGCTATACCATATTTTCCTTATCTCTACGGCTATCCCATTCCTCCCCCAATAATTGCCAGTCCACGTGATTTCTAAGATAAGAAAGCAGACAAAAGAGTCTTTTCTTCTTCTTCTTCTTCTTCTTGCTCTTAGATTGGTAAGTGGAGATTCTGCGTGTTTCTTTAAGCAGATGGAAATATTCAAGGTAGTAACTACATTCAATTGCCTTGAATCTTAATGGAACCGTTTTTGGGGTCACTTTGCTCTTTTTTTTGATGAATGATGAGAATATTATAAAAAAATAACCAATCCATGAAAGTACAAAGGTAAAAAATAAAAAGTCAGCAGCTCAACCAGTAGTAGAGCAAGCAAGCAATGAAAACAAAACAAAACAAAACAAAACAAAATTAAGCAAAAGAAAGAAAGAAAAGGAAAAAAAAAAAAAAAAACCCAACTCGAGATTAAAAAGAAGAAAGAACGTGAGGGTCAAATGAGGTGCTTCGTCCCGATCGCCATCCACTGGTGGAAGCGTCTATCTGAGATGCGACTAAAAGCTCGTAACCATCGTCCAACTATAAGAACAATCTTCTGTCCAATCTCTTTTGGGGAGGACTCCACATCCCTGAAAATCCTATTGTTTCTCTCCAACCAGATGTACCAACACACTGCATGGGGCAATAACTTGATGCAGTCTCTGAACCGTGGGTCACACCACAAGCCTCGCCAAGCAATGAGGAATTGGCGAATGAAAGGAAGGTAAGGACCATGAAGATCAAAAGCTTTTTTGAAATTATCCCATATGGCAATTGCAAATGGACATGAGAAAAAGAGATGTGAAATCGATTCCTCATGTTGTTTGCAAAGAGAGCACCAATTCGGAAGAATCATCCCTCTTTTTCTCAAGTTATCCACAGTAGCAATCTTCTCATGAGAGACCATCCAAAGGAAGCAACATATTTTTGAGGGCACACAAGGATTCCACACCAACTTGAAAGGGAAAGCAGTGTCACCTCCAAAGTTACTCTCAATAAGGTTTGTAGCGAAAGAATGAACCGAGAAGACCATAGATGCCTCTAAGGGCCAAACCAAACGTGCAGGCCCTGTGGTAATCCAAAGTTGAGGAAGAGCATTCAACGTTTGCATCAAAAGAACACGTTCAGCTTCAGCTCCACCCCTCAGAGATATAGTGAGAGGAATCTCCCAAGACCTATCAACCATAGAAAACATGTCAGACACAAAGGCATCCAAGGATTGGGCTACGAACCCAACCCTTGGGAAATCACTCACCAAAAGTTTCCCAGGAACCCAAAAATCATGCCAAAAAGACACCCCAAAACCACCCCCAGGATCGACATAGGCAACCTTCCAAAAGTAAGAGCTTTCGTGAACAATTGCCCGCCACACAGAACAACCATACACTCCCAAATTCCAACATGGTCTCCATTCGGACCTACCTTGTCCAAACTTTGCAACAATCAACCTCCTCCACCATGCATCCCTCTCAACCCCAAATCTCCAAGCCCATTTCCCCAACAAAGCTCGATTCATACACCTAAGATCCAAGACTCCCAAACCGCCTCTAATAATTGGAGTCTTTACAATATCCCATTTCACCCAATGCAATCGTTTTGTCTCAAACACCCCTGACCACAGAAAGTCATTATAAATCTTCTCAAGTCTAGCAATCACTGAGCTCGGGGCCCTAAAAAGGGAAAGAAAGTATATAGGGAGATTAGAAAGAACACTTTTCAAAAGCACCAACCTCCCGCCAAAAGATAGCATTCTGGCCTTCCAAGAAGCTAATCGAGCTTGTACTTTTTCAATCACTGGTTCCCAAACTGTCAAAGAAGCTGCTCTGGAACCCAATGGCAATCCTAAGTAGGTAGTCGGAAGAGAACTCAACTCACATCCAAAAATGTCTGCATAACGTGATGGATTCTCAACCTCCCCAACAACCATCATGGAACTCTTATGTAAGTTCACTCGTAGACCAGAAATTGTTTCAAAGAGAGCTAAGGCCGTGAGAAGAGAACGAACTTGGTCTTCAGATGCATCACAAAATAACAACGTATCATCAGCATAAAGAATATGAGTGACCTCCCCCATTCTCAATTCTTCATTCATAAAGAATCCCTCAACCATACCACGAGACTGCAAAGTCCTCAAAATACCTGAGAGAACCTCCATCACCAGGATGAAAAGAAAGGGAGAAAGAGAGTCTCCTTGTCTTAGCCCTCTTTTGCTAGAGAAGTAACCAGAAGCTTCCCCATTCACAAGAACAGAGAACGAAGCAGTAGTGATGCACCCCTGAATGCACCACTTTGCTCTTAATCGAACTCAAATAGCAGGTTCATAAATGGGTTGGGGAGGAGAAGATAATGGAGCAACATCGTCTCTATTTATAACGTAGTGGATTTTATGAGTTTTCTTGTCGTTTGTAAGTTGTAAATTTGGGTAAATAATTTAGTTTCGGAAATTCTGAAATACGCTAGTATAGTAGTATGTATGCATGGTACTAGTTTATTGTGAGAATAACGTAATATTTAAATCTTAATCTTTACTCACAAGTAGTTAAGAGGTTTAATAAAGAGCGGATGTGACACTCCTAGCCAGATCCACACAAAAGAAACAAAGGAGAAATAGAGTAGAGGAGCTGAATGGTGGCTTACTTGGTGTAGTTTGACGGCAATCTATGTTTCCTGCTAACGGACTTTCAAACTATCAATTTTTTTTTACGTAGCAATCACTTAACCAGATTTAGATAGAGGATTATATAGTCTTATTTTGCAGTCTTGTTTAGAAGCAACGTAAATGTTGAAAAATATTAGGAGAGAGAATATTTATATTCCGCTTGAGTTGTTTATTCAATACCAAATACATGTATCAAGCCTCATCGATACTAATAATTTGCATGAAATCATGAGATATATTAAGAACGGATCGATAAATTAGCTTGTTATCTCATTTATTCGTGTTTAGATAATTTAAGTTAACAAGATCAAAAGTCTTTATCGAGGCCATATTTACTATACATCCTACATATCAAAGAAAAATATACCTTTCTTTTTATGAACCCTATACCAATTATTGAGCTATTAGAAGATCACAAACATACATAGTGATCACCTTGTGTAAGATTCCATGTATTTCTATTAAGGCTAGGGCTGGCTATTTGGACCGGGACCGGATGAAAAAACGGAAACCGGACCGTATAACCCGGACCGGGACCGGATAGTAAACAATCCAATCCAATCTTTGGGCTTAGATTTGAGGTAAAAAACCGGATAAAGACCGGATAAGAGAGCTCAACACCCAAAACTTAAGGGTAATTTGCATAAACGGTCACAAACCTTTGCACTTAGTACAAAACTTAACCAACTCCTCACCCTTTTAGGCCTTAGGCCACTCAAATTCCCACAATCTCAATATAAAATCAAGACCGAATTGGGACCGGACTGGGTCAAGACCGGACCGGATCAAGACCGGAGTGTATCCAATCCAATCTTCGGTCCTTATATTTTCAAAAAAACCGGATTGGACCGGATCAATTTGGGCCAATTTAACCGGACCGGACCGTATAGCCACCCCCAATTAAGGCATTGTAAAATTTCTCAATAGGAGCGCGAAGGGATCAATTTGTTGAATCCAAAAAGAATTTTGGCACTCCTTCACTAACGCCGTCAACAACGCCGTTAACCGCCAAACTAGCAGTTCACCTTTTTTTTCCCGCGAATGTCCGTTTCAGTTACCTTCCCCCAATTCCGCGGTCTACCAACATGTTCATCCTCCGAGTTCACTCCGTCGACCCCCACCACCCTCTCGATCTCGAGGAGACCGCCTTCTCCGTCGTCTCCTCCGCCGCCACCAATCACCCGGAGACCATCTCTAGCCGGAACCCTAAGTACGGTGAACGGAGAGGCGTCGTTCACCTGTACCGGAGCGCATCGCAGAGTTCGCTCCCGAACCCTAGCTCCCGCTCCACTTCGCTCTTCGTCGTCGCCGTCCCCAACTACTTGTCCCCCGATGGGTTCGTCCGGTTCTGCGAGACCCACATCGACAGTGTCCTCGAGCTCGTCTTCATCAGGTACGAGAGAGAACTTACATCGCCGATACAGGAATCCGTTTGCTCAATTTTGGGGATTGCTTAAAATTCGTAATTGGAATTGTAGAAATGACGGGATGGAAGATCGGTATAGCGTGTTGATCAAGCTCGATTCCCAATTGGCTGCCGATAGATTCTACAACAACTTCAATGGGAAACGATTCTCTCCTTCTGAGGTACCTTGAGGAGCTTCTGTATAGTTTCGGCTTTTGGGTAGCTCAAATTTGTTATCTTTTTTCAGCTTTGCTATGAACCTTCGATTTGTTTTCTGAGAGTTGTGATGATAAATTCAGGCAGAGGTATGCCACATCTTGTTCCTGCTCTCAGTGGATTACACCGATTCGGCTGAGGTTGCCAGCACTCCTCCGGCAGGGTTCGCGGCGTTGCCTACTTGTCCAATATGCCTTGGTTAGTCATTTGCGTTTCATTAGAAGCGTAGGTTCGAGGGGTAGCTTTCATGTTCTGCTCTTTATGGTGTTGTTTTGGCAGAGAGGTTGGATCCTGACACTAGTGGAATAGTCAGTACCCTTTGTGATCATTCATTTCAATGTTCATGCACTTCAAAGTGGACGTATCTGTCTTGCCAGGTGAAAAGCGACTCCCTTTAGGTGCTTGTAGAACTCCCTGGAGTAATTTGTTTTTTGGGTTTAATTGACTCCATATTCTCTCAGGTCTGTAGATATTGTCAGCAGGAGGACGAGAAACCGACCTGTGCTGTTTGTGACACGTTGGAAAATCTCTGGGTTTGTCTGCTTTGTGGCTTTGTTGGTTGTGGAAGGTATAGGTCCTTCAATTTCTGACTGTACATTTAGTGTCTATAATTATCGGGCCATTATATATTTTTGACTGTCCGTTTAGGTATAAAGAAGGGCATGCGGTAAGGCATTGGAAACGTACAGAGCACCAATACTCTCTTGATTTAAGAACTCAGCAAATATGGGACTACGTTGGTGACAACTATGTCCATCGCCTAAACCAGTCGAAAGCGTATGATAAGTCTGTTGATGTGAACTCTAACTGTACATACATGGAAGGAGATTGTGGTACCTGTGAGTGTAGTAGTGACGATGCTGGTTTTGGTGGGGCTCTCTATAATAGCAAAGTTGAAGCAGTGAGTTCTCTTTTTTGTGTACATTAAGCCTTTTATTCTAATTACAAACTAGTGCGTGGACTTCATATGTTGCCTTTGCATGACTTCGTTGCAGATTGTTGATGAGTACAACCGTCTTCTTGCAATACAGCTAGAGACTCAAAGACAGGCGAGTGTTTCATTAGTTTCCATATTTGTAACACCAATGCTTTTGACTTCTTGGGTTATTGCTCCCAATTTTCCGAATTCTCTGATGGAGTTTTACTCATGGCAATGAAATTTTAGGCCTGGTTTAAGTCAGAAGGTTTCTCTAGAGTTACTATAATCAGTTTTCCACACATCTTATGGTGTTTGGCTCTTTCTCCATTCGCTTGCAGTACTACGAATCTTTAATAGCAGAAGCCAAAGGTAAGCAAGAAATCTCGATCTCGGGAGCAGTGGAGGAAGCTGTGAGTTCAACAATGCAGGAGCTCCAGAATAAGCTGGAACTATGTGAACGTGAAAAGAATGCAGTGGCAGAAGTAAGTCTCTCGAGTGACCTGTGAACATATTTTGGGTCTGTGTCTTCACAGAATGGAAGGATTATGTTTTTTGTTATTATTTTCTAGGTCAACCGAGGTCTCATAAAGGATGAAGACACTTGGCGTAAAAAGGCCAAAGAAATAGAAGCTAGGTACGGTTTCCGCAAATTTGTTTAGGGTTATAAGTGCTACTACACTCCATAGCTAATTTAATTTTACTCTTCCGCATCCCTCAGGCAATCTTCATCTTTAAGTTCCAAGGATGAGATGATACTTGATCTAGAAGAACAGGTATGACTGCTAATTTGCTACTGTCATTGGTAACTTTATTTCTTTGGAAGAAGCTGTGTTAATGGTTGGCAGGACTGCATTTTGCAGATTCGAGATCTTACAGTTTACCTTGAAGCTCAGAAGACTCTGAATAAGATGACAGATCCTAGTGACATCCGCGAAGGGACGTTATTACCTGTGCCTTTGAAGCAGTCCTCCCCAGCCAAAACCAAGAGGAATGCCAAGTCGAATAGAAGACGAAATTAAATAGTGTACCAACTGTAACCAATCTTGCACAGGGTTCTGCATTCTTGAAACTTCAGTGTTGTGTATACAGGAGTTGTCTCGAAGAAAGAAGCATTGTTCGTGACTTCGTGCTCTGTTCGACCTCAAAACCTCTCGTTGTACAATCATTTAACCTACTGTGATAGATAACCATTGTCTGTTCCAAGCCTTATCTGCTCGTAGAGTTCGTATAAGATGTATTTTGGTTCTTGCTCCCTGATACCTTCGTTTAGTGCTACGATCCGGTACATTGCAGCTAATGTCAACATTGCATTTTACACTTCAAATAACATTTCAGGAACAACTAAATTAACTGTGATTACAACTGAAACAGTGGATAATGATAATTAGACATAAGACTAAGCACTGTTAAGTAAGAATGAACAGATGAAATAGACAAACAGATCAAGTTCCCCTATCATTCCTCCATACCTTAGTATGAATAAAGTTAAAATAAAAAAAATAATCTACTGTCATGAAGACGACCTCAAACCCTGCTCTCTTATCTTGATGCATTCTTTTGACTATCTAATTTACACCACAATTCTCTGTCTAAGAGGTCTCTTCAATCATATATATAATCATGTAAAAGAAAGAAGGGAAAGAAAAAAAGAGGGGATCATGATAATGCATCAAGAACACATTAGTCTTCTTCTCTTATATGAAGGGAGCTTTCCAAACCTCTTCTACCAGGTTGGGGTTGAGAGTCGAGTTGAGAGCCACAAATTACACTAAGAAAACCCTATGAATAGGTACCCTAGAAATCTTCCACAGCTTTCCCCCGAAAAATCAAACTGTGGGGCCAAGAGAGCGGCGAGCGCCACTCAGTCATCTAAAGGTGTCATCTTTGAGCTTGTTGTTCTGATCCAGCGGCCCCGGAAGTGCTCGGCGCTCCTCCAGCACCGTTCTCAGCCGGTGGCGCGGTGCCCCATTTCCCTTCCGATTCCAATGGTTCTAGCACGTGGACTGCGCCGTCTGTTAGTCCCAGAGCAAACTGGTTGGCTTCTGTTGGATGTGCCGCGATCACCAACGGATAGACCCTCAAGCTGTTGAAACATTCCAAAGTGTCAAACAGCTAAACCGAGGGACGAGAATAAAGTTTTGGTGAACAGAGAAGAGGAATGGACCTTGGATTTGGAGGTAGGTAAGCGGCAGAACTTATCCTGCACCTCAGTCTGAGAGCTGGAGCTGTAAGAACACCCACGCTTCCATCTTCGAAGCTGACGTATATCGACTGGCTGTCGCAAGAGTAGGTCGCATGTGTGATAGGATTTGCGTCTCGAGGGAACCACTATAGAGAAGAACAATTTAGCAACAGCGTGACTTCATCAATAATCAATCAACTACAAAACATGGCTTGAAAGAAACCAATTCCGTCCTAGTTACCTGCTTCAAACAATCGAGTTTCGGCGCTTCGTACAGTGCTATCTGTGATTCGTGAACGGCGAGCAGATGTGTCTGGTCGACATGAAACTGGACCCGGGTATCCGAAACAGGGGAGGTCGGACGCCCGGGAGGGATTTGCAGGAATTTACTAGCCTGCCTATCCCATCCATCCGTGTTCCACACACATAACTGTAGTCAGGGAAAATAATATTAGTAAAACCAGTCTATTCATTCAAAGCATGGATTTACGATATATATATGTAGGGTGGGGTGATGATCTAACCTGAGAGTCTGCTCCGGAAGAGATGAGCACATTTAGGGTGTTGGAGAAGGCGAGACCCGTGATTCTTTTCTGATGACCTTTCAACTTGGTTTTAACCTCATCAACCCTGACATTATAGATTTGGATTGAAGAATCCTCCATTCCGATAGCAATTATGTTGTTGTCTTGAGGATGGAATGCCAGGAAACTTGCAGCCGGTGGTGGGGGCATGAATGTTGTCATTGTCTGCAAACCATATCATGACGTGAGAAAGTGTATTATGATAAAGAGAGAACTACCTGTTACGGATCAATGCAGAAGAGACAAGCTTCTACCTTGAATGTCATCATATTGAAAAGCGATATCTTTCCTCCTGAAGCCGACATAACATAAGAATCATTCTTTGAAAGAGCAAAGCATGGCACAGCCTCTTCAGGGTTTGTATCACTTATATCATTCGTCATCAATATTCCACTAGATGGTTGCCACAATTGTGGAGCAACGCTAGCAGTGGCCTGCAGAGGGGGGGAAATTCCATTGTTAATAACATCGAGGAGATGAACAAGAAACACAAATAAATATACACCTTCCAACATCTCTTCCAGGAAGAACAGAAAATGAAATGGAAAACTTGAAAAAGCAATAGTTACCTTCCCAGTTCTATCATTTCTCTGCCATTTCCAGAGCTTATGAACAGCATTAGATGCTAACGCTAATATGGCCAGCCCAGAATTTGTATACATCAACCTGGCCACCTGAAACAATTGCCAGTAACATGGTAAATTATAATGGTATCAGATACTCTTACTAGGTTAACCCATTGATCTAAGCTCTAGTTGATTCCATGATAAACCAACCATCACACAAAGGAGGATAGATCCCTTCAAAATAAGAAAGGAGCCTCTTGAGTCTGCAATTATGTGGCCTACTCAGAACAAGGAGAACAAAATCACAAAAATATGACAGCTGCGTACCCTCATTGCAGTTAAATTATCAGGAAGCCTCAGAGAACGACACTGCGATTGCTCATTAATTTCAGCTGCTTTCCAGATCCTTGACTTCTCCATGGATTCTTCATTTATTCTAGGTTTAACATCAGCCAAAGCTCGGCTATCATTGATCTGCTGCACAAGACGAGAACAATTTGTCAGGTTTAGCTCGTCTTATGCAGGGATACTATCACAACAGTTTTATCTTCATTTAATAAATGATCTGGAGTACTTAATAATTAAAATAGAGCTTCAATACACATCTGAATAGAATATGAAGAACGACACGGACCATTCCAACCATGGGTGGTAAAGGAGCAGCTGGATTTCCCATGCTAGTTCCAGGATTGGGATTGGCAGCAGCAAAATTTGGTATTGAAGGGGCCTGTATGTGTGTCATTTAGTTTGTAATCCTCGAACAGGACGGAACAGGGTTGACATTTTCCAACTTCAGAAACTATTCTTACCTTGACAACAGCTGCAGAAGCAGCTCTTGAAGCATCAAATGTGCGATTTTCCACCGTCTTAAGCAACCTAATTCCATCAGAATTTGCTAGGACTTTAACACTATTGTCACTGGTCGAGACAGCCATGAGAATTCCTTCTTTATTGAATCTTATGCAAGGAGAAGCCTGCATGAAGATTTATTGGAAAAGAGTTGTAAACAAAGAAAAGAACTGCAAGAAGAAAGCCTTGATAGATAGAATGTATATCAAAATTTACCGGCAGTCCACCATCTGCGTCTATACTTGTCAATAAGCTGACATTGTCCATGTCCCAGAATTTGACCATGAACTCATCACCAGCAGCCAAGAACCGATTCTTAGTGGTATCAAATTGCACAACTCCAACTGATCGCTTTCCAAGGCCAGTATACCTACGCTTTACTGCACCTTCACTTTCATTCCACTCAACTAAATGGGATTCTCCCTCCTTGTTTGTCCCACAAGAGAACAGTCTATTTGACATCCAACAATAGCAGAATATTAGGTAACCTGTGAAAGGATGACAAGAAACCAACAGGCTAACCAACTACCAGCACCCATAAATTACTGTAACAACTTGACACCGTCACAAAGCAACTCTAATACTGTCATGACTCGGACTCCAAGCTAACAAATATACAAGACAGTGAAGGAACATGAAAAAAAACCTTGTTCCATCAGCGCTATATGCCATTGTGGTTGATGAATGTCCTGGAGCATCATAATCAACTCGCGAACCCATGGTATCGTACAACCATGCTTTAATCTTTCCATCAGTTGCAGTTGAGAATATAAACTGGAAAAACAAAAACAAAAAGGAAAGGAAATCAAGAGGTCTGCGACTAGAAAATCCTCAAATTCTAAAGTCAATCCCGATGAATGATATAGAACCATAAATCTAGGAACTGAAATCAAGCTAACCATTGTTTACTTGACATTACCTGGATATTTTCTTTGTGATGTGGGCACACAGAATATACAGGAGCTTCATGACCTTCAAAAGTAAACTGCTTATTGCCAGTAGCTGCATCCCACACCTGTAGAGTTTAGGGCATTAAAATATGCCCCCCTGGGTATTGCCAATTTTATCAGAAACAACTATGTAGTCATGCAAACCTTAATCACTCTGTCTTCTCCACAAGTGACTACACACAGTTGCTTGTTGGGATAGGAGAAAGCAAGGTCATTTACACTTCCAACATGGGCCTCAATCTGTGCAAACAAGACAGTAGTTTTTTAGATCCCAGCTCCGCAAACACCAAGGTACAAAAAAAAAATAGCAAGATACAAACCATAAATGATGAAAGGATTACAGTATGTAAGAGGAACAATTAAAAAAATTTCATTCAGTATCAGGGAAGCACAAACCTCAAGGTGGTTCTTTATATCATCCCCTCCATGGTATGAATAAATGTGAACAATGTGCTTAGAGTAAGCAATGCCTGCAATTAAAACCCATAATTCTAAGTTTCCTCTTTATACGCACACAAAATCAGATTCTCAGAAGAGGATTTGATATATACCAAATAGACTTCCATCAGGACTCCACATGACACGGTTCACTGATGCTGTATAATCATTAGCAAGAGATGCCTACAAAACAATCAGAGAATTAATCACAAGTTGGTCTGAGAAGTATCATATTCATTTGCTTAGGGTTAAAAAGCAAACCTGCAACCCCATTGAACATGCTCCAAGGTCCCAAACCTTGAAATTCTTTAAAGCAATCCTTTCACGACTACCCAGCTCCCATACCATGATGTCGCCCATGTTTGTGCCAACTGAAAAATCGGAAGCACTTAGCTATGGGAAGCTCTAAAGGCTCGGAATAAGCAAGCAATACATGAAGCCAAGAGAATCATCTCAAACATCAGAGTAAGAAAAGCTTCAGAAACAAAATGCATTTTGAGAACCTGAAACATCATTCAGTCCATCAAAACATGAAATGTAACTGTCAACGGCACTACATCAATTTTGTTTCACCTCCGAAAATTCACAACTGAAGTTCGGCCTTTGTCCATACAGAAGCTTACCAAGAAGTAAAATCTGCTGCAATGGATGGAAGTCCATACTCTTCACTGCTGAACCTTGATTCAAAGCCATAACAAAATTCTTAGGTAGATCATCGGATGAGTAGGAACTCTGCCCATGGCTGTGCCCAGCATATGCAACAGGCAGAATATTTACAGGCAGATTATTAACCTGATAGAATTGGAAATAGCAACAAGATTAGAGAACTCCATGACTTGAAACAAAGGTAGGAGCTCAGCTTTCAGGGGATGAGGAACACATGACATGCACGTACATCTGAAAACCCAACTTATTGAATCAGAACCCAAAGTAGACTTTTGCACTTTCTAACTACGAATCAATGAAGAAAGAATCATCCACATGGAAGACTTCAGTGAGAAGCGAAATGAATCGTGAAGCAAGTGCCCTCTAATGCAACACATGTATATAGGCATCTAAAGAATTTCAAATGTAACTGACCACTAGCCCATCAGGTTCATGTAACAAAATCTTAATGTAATGGTATGATCTAAAATACCTCCTCAGACATTCCAAATGGTCTAGTTCTTTTCAAGACATGTTCAGAGTCAGCTGTTTGATAATCCAGAGCCAGGTTGTTTGTTGGAGGAGTCCTAGGGCGCTTCAAAATAGCCGCTGCAGAAGGCATACATAAGTACAAATAAGCATGTTAGCACACATTAAATGTTCGATGAAAAAAATAGCTTAGTATAAAATATACAAAAATAGTGAACTTTCAAGTGCCATGTCATTGATAGAGTGGTGAGTTAAGAGCAGCAATTTGATGTAGTTAGTTAGTGACAAGATGTGGGTTACATCATTGTGGCCCAGGCTAGATTGCTACTATTTTGGCAAAACCAGTGAATTATGCATATAGAAGACAGTGGCTAGCCTGAAGCACCAAAAGACCTACCTGTGTTATTAGGTGCAGCCAAGCCAATGGGTCCAGCAGAAGCTGAAGGATGAGGGACAGGAGATGGGTTTGACATCCAACCAGCAAGAGATGTTTGCAAAGAAGGAGGTGCAGGCTGGAACGGCTGCAAGCATGCAAAAAATGTCAATTTCTTGGAACCACCTTGACAGTAGAGGAAACACAATTTACTACACTTACACCATGAGCACCAAGTGGAGGGAAGCCTCCTGGCTTTGGCACAGCACCCATCAAGGGATTGGTTACAGGGGATGGGGCTCGAGCACCATTTGGCTGCCCACCACAGCTGTGGTCCACGAATAAGGTCTTTATATCAGGATTAGGCCTTGGATTCTTACACAGTTGATGTTGCCAATTTAAACTGCACTTCATGATAAACTATAAGTAAACCAAGTCAAAAGGAAACAGCAATGTGTCAAAGAAAAAGTGAAAAACAAGTTTTAAAGGACCTTTGATTAATTAGAGTCCGTAATCTTGAATTTTTCAATGTAGGAAACTGGAGTTTGTCTCGGAACAACGGATTAGCCTCTATTAACTTCTTCAGTTCACCAAGCATTATATTCCTTGCAGATTTTGTATCTCCATACTTGGACAGCTGTTCATTTTCTCTGCGCAAATGAAGGTATAGACAGCATCCTAGGTAAGAAAACTCTCCCAAACACACTTCACACGATGATTCATCAATCGAGAAAGTACCACAAAAGACAGTAATCAGCAAGGCACACCTGAAGTTTTCCAAAGTCAACAACTGTGTAATTTCCTTAAACAACTCCTCATTAAATGCAGCAAACACTTTCAAGTCCTTCACCAAAATCTCCACAGCTTTGGCACGATCACGCCTACAGTACGAGGCACACGAAACAACAGGAAGTTATCACCGAGTGTATAACTTGACCATCAAGAATTTGAAGCGATCCAACAAAAGGAGAAAAACATGGAAGGCCAAAATGCATTATGTTCAAATTCAAACATACTTGTCCAATGCCTCGAGATACTTCTGCTTTCGGATCTCAAAGAAAATCTTCATAGAATATCTGTTATCATCAACCTTGGTGAACCCTGATAAATACTTCTCCACCTCCTCCCACTCTCCATTCGTCACCATTTCCTCGAAATACCGCATGTTGAAGTAAAACCCTGACTCCTGCTCCAATCTAAACAGACACATACACATAAACACGAAACCAAACCTAATTCACACACAAAAACCCTCAAATTCACACCCTCCCCCCACCAAAATAAAGCTTCAACCGCCACCACATTCACAAACCCACAACCAACACAATGCCCGCCGCGGCAACCACAAAAAAAGCACAAAATTCAGGCTTACTTGTGCACAGTCTCCTTGAATTTCTCTTCATCCAGAAACTGAAGTATGAGAAACACAAGCTCCCTGCTTAGCGACGACATAATTCCTCCCGCTCCACCTGCCCACACAATTCAACCAATTACCCTCACTCAGAGATCTAAAACCCTCGCAGATTAAAAACGCACACACACACTCCACCTAACAACCAAACAAACATCTACAATTCCAATAACCGCAACGAGTGGGAGAATGCGAAGCGAAGAAGCAGATGAAAGCTTCAGCCGCCCCCCCTCCTCCCCGGGGAAAATTTCCAGGCGGGAAAGTTTACCTGAGCAAAACAGATCGGAGAATTTCGAATACGGACAACGAGAGGGCCGCCGTTCCCCAGTCCCTCTCTTCCCCTTTCAGAAATCTTCTCTCTCTCTCTCTCTCTCTGAGCTTTTCCTTTTCTCCTCGCTTTCCTTTTTCCCTCTCTCTCTCCTTCTTCCAGTTCTTCTTCTTCTCTATTTCCTCTGCGAGTTTCTCTCTCTACTCCCTTCTCTCTAGCATCATCCCCTGGCGAGTATTTATAGACAGGGAGCTGTGCTAGGGATTTGGGGGAGAGAGAGGAAAAAAAGGCCACCAGACAAAGTTAATAACCCGTGAGACGAGACGAGATGCGGTTTGCCATGATATGATACGCTAATAAATAGGAGGATAAGCAGACTTGCTTATCGACTTTGTTGAGTGATACGTGGGGTGAGGTGCAGGCGTTATCAACACGCTTCTGAGCGAGGGTCTTCCTTCCATATTTCATTTTTCTTTAATTCAATTTATTTTTAAGGAAACTATATTGACTCGTAAAATAAGTCATATCCGGCTAGATTTGCGGACTTTTGGCAGTATAAATTACACCCGGTTTCATTTTTCCTTTCCCATTTTTTGTGTTGGAAAATATAAGGTTAAGAGATCTCGAAATTAAAACAATTACTTCATCGTAATTCGATATATAATAATAGTTTAAGAGCTGATCGAGATGTTCTGTCGAATTTCACATGTGTTTTGGTTGGGTATGATATTGATTTTATTTCAACGAGAATAATTCAAATATGTCATCGAACCGGTACAGATCGGATTGTATTGATATGTGTGTGTTGATATGAATTTGTCCAGTATTCGCCTAAACAATAATCTTCTCGACTGGGAATTTTGTTGTTCGAAAAAAATGGAAACTTTCTCATTAGAACACAACACTTATAGTTATAGATAGTATTTGAGTATTTTGTTACTACAACACAACTCATTAGTAGTTCAAAAATTAACATAAAATTAATTTATTATACTATAAATGAAATTTCAATTGAAATAAAGACCTAATTGAATCTCTTTTCACCTTAGGCGGTTATGCATATTCGATCTTTCCCAAACAACCCTGAAATTGTCTACTGACATGGAATCTTACTAGTTTTGATTCTACCAATTACAACTGCAAGTGTAAAAAGAGCATTTTCAGTTTTGAGTTATATTAAGAACAAGTTTTCAAATCGTTTTGGTGACAAGTTTGCTAATGCTTGTTTAATGAGATGCATTGAAAGATAATTATTTAATAGTGTAGATAACGAATATTTTTGTGTTTCTTTCACAGTATGAAATTCCTTCGTGGTTGTTTGTTTATGAAAACAATAATTATATAGTCGGTTATTTTTATTCTATAAATGAATTACTTAAATATTATTATTTTTTATTAAATAATTCTTAATTAAATACTTCTATATTTACGTTATGAAAAGAGGACAGGGGTGGTTTGAAATGCTGCCTCCACCACTGAGCACTGGTGCGTACAAGTTGAATTTGCATCGTAACATTGAATTTTCAAGTTTAATTTGTATCATAAAGAGATTTGCACGAAAATGATCGTCGTATCGGTATAAATTGAATTTGTAGCATAACGTTAAGAAATATATTTAGTTTGTAACACAAAAAACTTGAAACGAAAAAAATATTGGTACCAATTGAATACGTATCGGTATTTATGAATACAGTAGCGGAGCTCTAATTGTCATAGTTAGGCTCATAGGCGGAGGCAGGACTATTTGCCCTTGTCCCAGGACAGGGGTAAATTTGGGAAGGAAAAAAATACACCATATATATTTATATTGATAGTGGAACATAATACGTATTGTTGGCATGAGAGTATTTTGTCACTGTCACACAACTTATTACTTGTTAATAAATTGATATAAAATTAATTATTATACTATAAATGAAGTTCTTATTGTAATAAAGACCTAATCGGACCTCTTTTCTCTCAATACCTATTCGATTTTTCAACTATTTTTTATTCTACCAATTGCAACTGCAAGGGTAGAAATAACATTTTCAGTTTATTAAGAACAAGTATCAAAGTCAATTTGGCAATCAATTTGCTAATGATTGTTTAGTGGGTACATTGAAAAAGACTTACTTTTTTTTGAACAAGGAAAAAGACTTACTTAATAGTGTAGATGACGAATGTTTTTGCGTTTCTTTCACAATATGGAATCTTGTCGTGGTTGTTTATGAAAACAATGATTGTAGTAGTTAGGTTATTTTTTTATATATGAATGAATTATTTTGATATAATTAATTTTCATTATATTTATTAATTAAATAAATATAATTATATTATATTATGGAAAAGGACAGGGGTAATATCGAATCCTGCCTCCGCCACTGGTTAGGCTATACTCTATTTGGGTTTTTTCCTGAGAGCATATTAAATTACTTACCATTGGTTTAATAAATAAAAAATTGCTAAAAGAATTCATGTGTAGACATTACATACATATTTGGCAGGTGGTGTATTTACCATTAAATTTGGCTCCATCAGATTTTCCCCGAGGTGTGTTTGGATATAATGATTAGGATTTGGTGTTTATTCCAAATATCAAATTATGTGTTTGAATATTAATTATATTTAATATTTGGATTTGTGTAAAAAAAAAAACTAGTTGACAAGTAATATACTAGTAATTGATTCAATGTCATTCCTCTCCTGCTAGCTTCTCCGTATTTACAAAGTATGTACAGGTAATTATACTAGAAATTGATAGCCTCAAATTGTGTGTAGTAATTATAAAAAAAATATGGCATTGTTGTGGATCATATATCTAAAACCGATTGCTTCATCATATTAATAAAGTATGCACCGGTTCACAAGTTAGATTTGATTTGGATTTTTTAATAAAACGATAAATCATAACACCATGAGCGGAAAGACTTATCGATGCAAAACAAATGAAATTGAGTCACAAATCAACAACAGTTCTAATAAATATAAATCTTATAATTAGCCAAACATTGGATAAGAATTTATTTTTAATAGACAATTTATTCAGAACTCACAAATACTATTTCTTATAATGATAATTAGCTAAATAATTATACATCATATCATTAAAAAGTGGCAGTCGTGCGAGAGACGTGTTTATATTAAATGGATAAAGTAAGCAGCTAGTGGGCCACCCAGACAGTGAATTAGACAGAGAAACAAACGAAGAGAGAGAGAGAGAGAGAGACTGTGAGAAAGTCATGAAAATGAATGAACCCAGAAAAGGAGAGAGAGAGAGAGAGAGATAAAATAAATAAACAAATAATAAAAGGTACAGAAATTTCAGCCGGGGAAAGGGGCATTTTCTTTCATCTCGTATCGTATGGTTTATCGTATCGCGCGATATAATAAGTACGAAACAATAGTATTTCTCTTTTTTAAAAAAAGCTTTTTCCAAAGCGGAAAGAGAAAGAAAACCACTTTCGTTTTTTTATTTTGTTTTTCAATTATCTTTTCAAATTTAATAAAGTCCTCATAATAATTGATAATAATGATTTTTTTCTTTATTATTTCTCGTGCATCGTTTTCGCAGAACCACCACACGTCAATTCCGTCGGACACAAATTAAACGGTTCTAATCAGACGAACGTTTTTTGTTTTGTTCTAGGGGAGGTGGATATTGATGAAACTTACACTTTAACCCCCAAACTATGCCATCTTGTCAAATCACCCCTTTTCTTCACTCTTATATGTATTCTCCATCAATCAACTCATTTATGTTTGCTCATCGAGCCCATATCTCCTTTCTTTTCAGAGGAGCTTAGATGGCTAAGGATGACTTACCTTTGGTTCCAACCGGTCGGTTCAGGCCACGTACTCTCTCGAAAACATTCCTTGGGTGTTACAAATACAAATAGGTCGTTTGCTTAATAAATTTGAAAAATGAGTGTTTTGCTAAATGGATGTATGATGGATTTAGTGGCATCATAGATTTGAACAAGTCTATTGTTTGCTTGCTCGATTTGATCCATCACTCAAATCCCACCTCAAGAGGTGGAACTTCCAAGTCTGTGGGGTCCACTGATTTGGACCCCCAAAGTCCGTGGGCCCCACAGATTCCATCTTCCTAATCCCTAAGGCAAACGATGGATTTTCGTTCAAGTCCATAAATGGATGGATTTCCATGACCAAAATCCATCATCAAAACCCTCAAGCAAACAACCCGATAGAGTACTTCATACAGGTCGTCGAAAGAAAAAAGGATGTGTTATGGATTGGTCCAAGCGTTGGGCAGACGAATGATTCATTTTGTTCAATTATAAATTATGTGACGATGAAGAAGACGAACTAACTATTGAGAACTAAAATTAATTCCTCGTAATTTTTTTGGTCGAGAGTGACAATATCATCGAACTAGGCCAGCAGCCAATATATACTCTCGCCAAACTTTTATGAAGGAGAGGTATGGGTTTGTCGGAGTTTGGAACAAGGAACGAGATATTGATTTTTTTTCTTTTGAGGAACTAAATACAGTCGAAATCTTTACGGAATAAATTTTTGAGGATCAAGTGATCATAAGGAAAAAAAAAATGAAAAACGCGTAACAAGAGGTGTATAGCATATTCCGAGAGCTACCCACGTAAGATTCACAATTAGAGTAGAGAGGACGTGTTTGAAGAAAGTGTATAGTTTAGGCGCCAAAGAGTAACTTGATTAAAATGGATGAATTGACATAGAGAGACCGTTTAATTTTGATGGCTTTTGTTTGTTCGGGAGGCTGCGGTTCTCTATATAACACTCCCACCGTAACTACGGTGCGCCACTTTAGACCAGATTGAGATTCTATCCTCTCAGGTAAATGCATTTTTTTATAAATAAATAAAAATGCGATGATGCCGACCTGTGACTCATCCGTCTATTTAACTGCACATGGGGAAAATAAAAAAGAAAAAGAAAAAGTAGAAAACCCCACTATATAATAATAGTATCATTCAAAGATTCATGCATATCGATCCTCTTTAGAACATTAGCTGGTGAAACAAAACCGTATTGCATTGTGTAGATTAGATTCGGGGGGAAAAAGTACTTTCTATCAAAACTTAAATTGGTGGGTGGTTTCAGTGACATGAAATTAGGAATGGCAATAAGGCAAGTTCGCGGAGTGGGTATCTCGATATCGATACTTACCCCATGGCAGGTTGGGTAATTTATCGCGGGGCACGGATCGGGGCAGGTCGACCCAACGAGTATGTAATTTATGCGAAAAAAATATTAGATATATTCGTTATTTTCATTAAAAGACAAAGAAAGAAACCATAATACGATAAAAATTCAGTTAAATTATTGAAAATCGAGGTTTTCATTTATTTACGACTTTATTATAATTAAAATATAAGTAATAAGAGAAAAATCCTAAGTAATTTGACTAAGATTACGAGGAATTTAGACAAAAACGAGTCGACAATGAAACAGGTTAGGACAAGTCGGGTCGACGATTAACAGATTAAATATGTTCATTATCTTCCGTTTAGAGTGACCCGCTTATGAGAATGAAGCTAATTAGTTAATAATCCAACGGCATTTGATTCTTTTGTGTCATCCTTTCCCAAACATGACAAGCAATAGTAGCCAACAAACTAGGTTCCCATTTTGGTTGTTGGGTTGGTCCTTGTGCGCAAAATAGTAATTAGACACGAAATTTCGTCAAAGCTAATGTCTTTTCGAGACGTTAGCACAGGCCAAAAGTCTTTAGGGGAAAGGTCAACTTCATTGACTTTCACGAGTTCAAACGATTTCTTTCTACCAGATGGTGGCTCTTATAACGTGATCATTCATGGGTTTCTTCGCCATAAGGATCCACTTGAAGCAATGGACCTCATTCACGAGATGGTTTCGAAAGGCTTCTCAGCCGATGCCAGGACGATGACATTGCTAATAGAATTGGTGCCCAAGAATCAGTTGGATCATCCGGTTTTCCAGAAGCTGTTGAGTGGTCCTGATATCAAGAGTCATAAAATTGGGTCCAGCGGTCTATCTGCTGCTGCTGCTGCTACTCAAGGAACTTGCTGAAATTCTCATCCAAACTCCAGTTGGATGATCCAGCAGTTGATCAAAATCTCTCTTGGTGTCAATGGAAGATTCTGACGATGCAAGATTACTGGAACTAAAAGGTCCGCGTCATGATCCTTGCCATCCCACTTACATATGCGTTTCCATGCTTCCTGATATTATCAGAAATTACTTGGTTTAAGGGCGCTGCATATTGCTGGTTCTCTCTGTTTGCTGTCTATACTTAGTATCGGAATATTGTGTAGAGATATGACTTAACTTAGCTCGCTTGTTTAGTAACATTAACTTACATTTTGCCCCAAAATCCCTTGGAATGGAACTCTAGGCTTCTGCTGTTGTCAAGAAGAAGAATCAATGCGTTTGGGTATCCATTTTGCACTTCAGTCCTATGAATAGGATAGTGATCTACTACTTCATAGTTGTCTGCTCTTGTCGTTTTGTTTGTTTGTTTGTTTCATGATGATGTTTGTGTTCATGTATGTGGTAGCTAAACAGTTACCATCTCGACATATAATCTTATTATTATCCACTGACACACAAGAACAAGAGCAAGTTGAGAGCAATACTTTTTATTTATTTATATATATTCAATATCTCGCATATAAAAGTTATAATAATGCAATTGGAAGGAAAATGTGAGGGGGGAAAATTTATCTTATAGAACTTGTTGGTGTATTAAGTTCTTGGGTCTGCCAATCCACCCACTCACCATATTCATTAAGCAACAATAATCCTTATTATATATAGTTTATTTATCCTTTTCTCTTGTTTGTAATGGTTTTGGTTGGTTCTAATCATATTCATTAAACAACAACAATTCTTATTATAGTATCTTTTTTGGTGTTTGTAATGGTTTTGTTTGGTTCTAATCATTTAACTACTAAATTCAATTATCACCACTTTCTATATAATACTAGTCATTACACATTCGTAATTGGCTTGGAGAGGGCATGCAGTAGCCATCAAAACAGTTCCTACCCCCTTCAAGTAAGATTGTTCAAGTAAGATTGTTCAAAGTAGTGGTTACCTTGGTGACTGTATTAACCGGTAGTATTTGGATAATTGATTTAGTTTGGTTAATTTTTTTAACTTGTTTGGTTTGATTTCAGGCACTTCTAACCGATTACACCAAATCAACCAGTTACCATATATCTAATACATATTATATATACAGAGCTGGAATCAATCCAAGTATCCAACTACCAAAAAATGGAAATCATTAAATGGGGGATAACCCACGAATATGTGACCTTAACCTTTACAATTACAAAAAATAAAAAATTTTGACTAGCCAACAAGAGGTCTTTTTGTATAATTTTTTTTGAACTGTATTAGGTGGATAGCAAGTAGCACCAGTTGAGTCACAAGGTCAACTTGCTCATTTATGTATGTAAATTTTAGATTGAATTGGATTTTCAATTTAGTATATATACATAACCTATACAAAGTAGAGAGAATGAAAAAACGAAAAAGAATCTTTGTTCATCATTATTTTGCTAGGGTTTAATGGAAGAAGTACTACTTCCCATCCTCCTCCTATTGGTAACCATTATCCTGATCCTCACCCTGAAGATGATGAAGAAGAAGAAGTTGGAGGTGAACGGCGGCGGTGGACCGCCGCCGCTACCACCAGGCCCAAGGAAGCTCCCGATAATCGGGAACCTCCACCAGCTGGCCTTCACCTCCCTCCTCCCCCACCGCCGGCTCCGGGACCTGGCCCGACAGTACGGGCCGCTGATGCACCTCCAGCTGGGCGAGACCACGAACGTCGTGGTCTCGTCCGCGGAGCTGGCCAGAGAGCTCCTCAAAACCCACGACCTCAACTTCGCCTCCAGGCCCTCCCGCGTCTCCGCGGACATCATACTGTACGAAGCCAGAGACATCGTGTTCGCCCCCTACGGCGAGTACTGGCGCCAGATGCGCAAGATCTGCGCCCTGGAGCTCCTCAGCCCCAGGCGCGTGGGCTCCCTGCGTGCCGTCAGGGAGGCGGAGGTCCGCGAGCTGGTCGGATCCATCGACCACTCCGCCTCTCAATGGAGTCGGAAGATGAAATCAGGTGTGTCTTCTTTCCCCCCCCCGAAATATAAATTATTTTTATCGGAGATTTCGTTTACACAGCGCAGTAAATTAATTTATGACAATCAAATAACAATAAGTTGAGTTTTAGTGAAGTGACAAGAATATATTTATTACATCATCTTCAAATTGATGAGTTCAATACTTTTTCTATATGAATATACATGAATTTATTATCGTCGTCTTTTTTTTACCAGAACTTATCTGTGTGTCTCGTGACAGAGCCCAACCCCTCCGCTCAGCCGGCACCAGCAGTGAACCTGACCCCACTGCTGATGTCGCTGAGCAATCGCGTCGTTTCGCGGGCCACGATCGGGACGAAGCTCGGGAAAGAGGAGGAGTCTGAGTTCTTCCTTGTGATGCAAGAAATCATGAAGGCCTTTGGAGGGTTCACCCTAAGTGACGTTTTCCCGTCCAGTCGGCTGTTGGGCCTGATCGGCGGGACGGAGAGGCGGCTGAATGAGCTTCACCGTGAAGTTGACGTCATGCTCCAGCGCTTTATTGATGACCACGTGGCCAGAAGATCGGCAGAGAAGGGCGAAGAAGAAGAAGATCAAGATCTGGTGGATGTGCTGTTGAATTACACTCGTGAACATGGCGATAAAAGCAACGAACTCAGCTTCCCTCTCACCGACGTCGAGATTAAAGCCGTCATCTCGGTAAGTCTTTAATCTTTATTCCGACATCACTTATTCACTTGGCAAAGATGAGTCAAGGGTTTTGTGATTTAGTTGTTATTATTATTATTATTATTATTATTATTATTATTATTATTATTATTATTATTATTATTATTATGGTGGCGTTTTCGGTGCACTCACTTTTTTTGGTGCATTCAGTGCACTCGTTTCATAACCGTCATTTTAAACATGCAATTTATGTCAAAATGATGTCAATCATCACTTATGATGTGATGAACAACAACACACATGAATTTGCACAAAAACCATTAAAGATCTACTTTAATTTGAAGGATTTAGAGTTTAGAGATTTAGGGTTAAGGTTTATAATTTGGGGTTTAGGGATAGAACTCAAAATTGGGGGTCTAGGGCTTAGGGTAATCCACTAATTAGTTGTTATCATATGTTATATCATCATATTACACTATTTCTACAAATTAAAATTCAAAATCCGACACCTTAAGACTAGTTTTTGAGTTGGGTGCATTGAACACACTCATTTTTATGAGTGCACCGAAGTAATCACATTATTATTATTATTATTATTTTGGGTATCTTGGGAATTCTTGAAAACTCATTTGGTTTGTGTTGTAGGACATGTTCTTAGCTGGAACTGACACGACTGCCGTTCTCTTGGAGTGGGCAATGGTAGAATTGATGAAAAATCCCGACGAGATGGAGAAAGCACAGAGAGAGGTCAGGCGTGTGTTCGACAAAAAAGGAAAACTAGTAGACGAAGCAAGTCTCGATGAACTAAACTATCTAAACTTAATCGTGAAAGAAACTTTAAGGTTGCACCTACCTGCTCCTCTACTAGCCCCGAGAGCAACTCGAGAAACGGTTGTGATTAACGGATACCAAATACCCGCCAAAACAACGGTGATCATCAATGCATGGGCCATCTGTCGCGATCCAGTACACTGGGAGAAACCAGATGAATTTATGCCAGAAAGATTCCTCCTCGGTTCCATCAATTACAAGGGCAATGATTTCCAACTGATCCCGTTCGGCGCAGGACGCAGAATATGCCCTGGCATGCAGTTCGGGACGGCTATTGTTCATCTCGCACTCGCAAATCTGCTTTATCATTTTGACTGGAAGCTTCCAAACCAAACTAAACCCCAAGATCTTGACATGTCTGAAATTTTTGGAGTAACCGTTGCAAGAAAAAGTGACTTGTATCTCATCCCCATCCCGTACAGTGCACCCTAAATCAATATCTTGTAGTAATTTCGCTTTCTCATGTACGAGATGAAGCTAGTTCTTTTATGGTGTAAGGATGAAGTTTAGGGTGGTTTGTAATGTATGAGTTTCACATTATCATGTAAGATTGTAAGATTTCGTGTAATAACAAACTATAGTGTTTGATAGCCACGAATTGTAATATTTGTATGAGAAATAAAAATATTTAATATTTTCTTAAACAATTTATTTTCTCCCCGCCGGAGATAATCAAGAACCGTTTTTTTATTTCAATTTTGTTGTTGTTTTGGTTTGGACTTTGGATAAATAAGTTATTTGATGTCTAAACGCTTGTTCCCCTTTGTTTAATTTACTTCATTGTACAGAATATTGAGCAAAAGACGATGCAACTAGATCAAAATTTGGTGAGAATGAAAGAAAGAAGTTTTGTACGCGAAATGAAAATGCATTCAACTCTGATTTTTCCATATCCAACTTTGATTTGGTATATGGAGCAATACAATATTTCTTTAATCCTTAAGAGATTCGATGGAAACACTACTAATTGACTAATTGTAGAATCAAAACTAGCATAAACAAAGGCATTAAACCCACGCTGATGGATTAATTTTGGTCCTACTCGTGACTCCTAAGTCTAACCGCGCACCCACACATCATATTCATTATTGTTGTTTGTAATGGTTTTCGTTGGTTCTAATTATTGAATTATTAAATCCAATTATCACCAAGTTCAACATAATACTAGTCAGTAGTCACCCATCATATTAATTAGACAACAACATTAATGCTTATTATAGTTTCTTTTGTCTTTTTTAATGTTTGTAATGGTTTTGTTGGTTCTAATCATTGCATTATCACAATTTAAAACACTTCCTGGCCACTTCGACCCCACCTCCACTGCCCCATCCTTTTTTGGACATCTGAGGAAGGAATCAAACCAACACCAGAAAAAGGCATCACTAAAACAGGATAACCGACGAAAATGTGACCTTAACCTTTTTTATTTTGTGTTAATTGTTTGTTGTTATCTTTACTAAGCTCTAGCTTGATCCAAACATGATCAACAGCCTCGCAAGAAAGAAAGATCATATCAATTTAACAAGCAACAATTTGGTTCCACAGTATAGCTCTCGTTGTTTGATTCCCTATCAGCTAGACGTCGTCCACTATAACCATAGGAGTGACGAGAACAGCCCTCACGACATCTTTCGTGACTCTGTCGGAGGCGGCACAGCCATCGAATTCCGTGTAACGGAGTTCCATCATCCTCGCAAGCCCGACCAGCATCGAAATGATTTCCCTACAGACGAAACTCGGCTGGTCGACCACACACTCTTTGTTGATCTCCTTCCAGTCATCCTTCAACATTTTCTTCAGTGCTTTCACTGCTTCCTCTCTCGACACCTCGTGCTGCTTCATGTAGCACTCGACCAACGAAGGCCCGTGCCCACTTTTCCGTTCGAACTGTCAGTAGGCAACCCAAATTCTTAGTTTAGAACTGTGTGCATGTACCATATAACATTTTATTTCTACACTAAACAAAATCAATTTATGGAAATGACTAAAATACGTAATAAATGATTCCTTAGCAAATTTTGCACTTCCATGTTCTAGTTCGTTTGAATATGATTGAAGACCGCGACATCATATTTAACACGAATCGAAATGCCGATTATAACTAATGCCAAGCGAGTACACATAGAACGTAACCCACCTGGTTAGCTACGATGTCATCCATGACGCGACAATGATCAGATACCACGACAAAGATTTTCGAGTCCGGCAGCAACCACTCGAACGCCTCCTTTGGGGCCTTCTCCCCCAAACCACAGAGGGCAGCACATGCCAACGGCGGGTAAGCTGAGGAATCAATGCCGACGCGCCTGTATTCTTCCACCGTCGGTACTTCCCCGGCGGCGAACCATCTTGCATGTGAGAGGAATGCTCTCATAATATACTTTTCCTGCAAGGCACACCATTAATTAATTATCATAAACAATTTTTTTTTTCTTTAATGGCAAGAGTAGATGAAAAATATAATGTCTAATTAAGCGGATTAAGTGAATTGATTAATTAATAACTGCTTAATTAGATTATGTACCGCCTCCTTTAGGTAGTCTCCGCAGTAGTCTCTTCCTTGTGAGGTCGTAGTTGTGGCTATTTCATCCACAACATTAATAATCGCTGCATACAATGTTCTCATGTAGTCTGGGAGATCTTTCATGCTGGTGTCCCATCTGTTCACCATTAGCCACTCGAATTACATTGAAGACATATGATTCGTTGACTGGTTTAGTTAACGTAGCTAGCTAGCACTGCAAGCAGGGGCGGAGCTAGGATTTCGATACCCGGTGGGCCGAAAATAATAAAATATAAATATTTGAAAAGCATACAACGCTTTTTTGAAATCTTTGAAAAATCACTCAAATAACATTAAAACTAAACATTTTGCTATCTTTCTTTCAATATAGTCTAAAAATCATTGAAATCACTCAAAATAAAGCAAAATGTGAGTATTGGTGAATTGAACCTTGGTGCTTCACACTAAAAACTAGAATAGCTACCAGTAGACTACATAATAGTTATATGAACTAATGTTCTGGCCGAGTCCTACTTATGCAAATTTTATCAAAATATCCTTAAGGTCCTAGGTATCCGAACTATTCCCCAAAGGGGCACCCTACCTTCTAAGTAGCTCCGCCCCTGACTGCAAGAAAAAGGGTTTCAGCTACCATTTTCTTGACAACCATAACTAGTGGTTGTAATCAAAACTAATTGGCGACCATATTCAAAGGGTTGCCGAAGTTTTCTACCTTCAAGCAACTATTACTAGTGGTTGGTTGTCGAGAAACCCATTTTACAACCATATTTAGTAAGTTGCTAGAGCAACATTTTGACAACCATAAATAATGGTCGCACAAACGATATTTTCAACGACCATTGAACATAATCATCGCCTAGAGCTTTGGGAGACACCCTTTTGCCCACCCTCATTTATGGTCACCAAAATATTTTGGTGACCATTTTGTGATTTCACCAACCTTTTTATGGTTGCAGAAAAGGTTCTTTCTTGTAGCTAACTAGCTATAGCTAGCTTTAGACTAACTTGTGAGAACGAAAACAAGAGAAAGAACCCATAAAAAAAACAAGAGAAAGAGAACGACAAAGAGAGAGAGAGAGAGAGACTCATATACCTCTCGACAACAGAGGTAAACAACTCAAGTTCGTCAAGTATACCACACTCCTCATACATGTCATCGGTCACAGATACAAGCATGGTGATTTTCGTTATGAAGTATCTCGCAAGGGCAAATTTGGGTTCCCACATGCTTCCGATCGCCCAGAAGTATAACTCGACCGGTCTGTTTCGAGCAAAAGGTACCCTCGTGGCGAAGTCCAAGTCGATCCACCACCTGCACCAATGAATCGCTCGTCGTGAAATAAAGTTGTTTTTAGTTACACACAACAAATATTAGTGATGACCCCAAAGGTTGGGCATACTCATAATATGAGGACGAGAACATCAATCACACCCCTGATCAATTCGATTCTTCGGGCCAACAACCAAAACGAAAGATATTACTGAAGAGCAAATGAAAGGGGGATCACGAGACCTACCGGCTAATGCCCCTAATCTCTTGTTGGTATATGCTCTGCAAATGGTTCCAACTCAACTTGGCGAGCTTGAGAAGGGTTTTGTTGTGACCTTTCTCTTGCTCATATACCGTGATGAAGAAGAGATGTTCGTGCCTTGGAGCGCCTTTGCGCAGTGGCCTTTCCAACACATGAGCAATTCTTTTGGACAACACCCGATTATCATCTTCATCACCATGATCCACCTTGAAGTAGTAGTTACGAAGGTTGTCTCCTGCGAATTCGACAGCTTCTTCCAGTATCGTCTCTTCATGTATCTGAAGAAATGCAGCTTCATACAAGCTCATCATCCCTTTGATGTCTTTCCCTAGTTCTTCCTTAAAGGTCGTCCTTTCTTCGTTCTTGAATTGGTTGAATACGTCTGCATATATTGAATTCAGAAAACTTGTAGTAAATGGTATATGATCAATTATTGAGTTTCTCCCAAAAGGTGGAGTTATTGGAATCAACTAATTATTATTGTCGTGGTATCAAAGTTCTTTGTTACCAAGAAGCCTTCTGTTCCCAATCCCGCTAACCTCCATTGGCAAATACATGGTATTCTGATATGTGCAAATTTTCAAACTCATATGTGGTGTCTTTCGTTTGAAGGGGTACTGTGCTAGCAGCGATTTCGAAATCACACAGAAGGGTTATACCGGAAAATTCAGTGGTACAGTATTAATTTTATACTAAAATCGTGGTTCAACCATTTCCTACCGCTGAAATCGTCCACCTTTTTTCGGTCCAACCGGTACGGTAAATTTCACAGACACACTATGTGTTAAAAATGATATATGATTAATTACCAAATTTCTTCCAGTAATTATTGGAATCAATTGATTCTCGCGCACAAGCATCTATCAATATCACAGTATGATATATATTCGTGTAACCATGCATATATGTAAATAATGAAAGCTGAAATGGTACCACAAGGCACGTTGTAGCCGTGCTGTCTGAGCAGTCTGAACTGAAGCGCAGTCGTGAAGAGGTGGTCTTTCTCGTCACTAATTATACCGTTTTTGCAACGACTTGTCCCGTCACAATAAACCTGTCGGAGCTGTTCTTCAATCTCCGCTTCGAAGTGGTAACCGATCCCCAGCCGCTCCACCACATCGATCAGATGCAGCTTCTCCGTTGATATCATCATTTCCTTAATCACCTCTTCCTTCAACGCTTCTATCCTCGCGATCCAACCATTTACGGTCTGCCAAAAGGTGAGTGAGGAAAGTGGTGTTAGATTCACTCCCTCTCGTTACGAAAGCAGATATCATTAGTGACGGGTTTACCTCTTGGTCACTAAAGACACGGGTGATGAAGAAGTCTCCCCATACAGTTGCGCGGAAGTCTGCCTTGTGTCGCTCAAGAGCGCTGGTTTCGGCGGCGGCGCTGTCGCCGGTCATATCGATTTTCAACGGCCGGAAGCTGATTCGATCGAACTGATGATATTAGAGTTTTGCAGTTGAAGTTTGTGCAAAGCTCGACTTCTGTGTCCAGTCCTTTATGTATAGGGAAATAATATTTTTCTTAATGTTGTCTTTTTTCTCAGTGGGTTTCTTTTTTAAATTATGGACTTTAATAATTTCATTATTAATTCTTCTTTATTGTGAGTGCGATCTCTGTAGATATGTCAGGATATTTTGGACTAAGCTGTTTTCTTAACTCCATTCTGCGAATGTATACAATATGTGTAGCAGGCTCATTACGTAATGACATTTTACAACTGTTACATAAAATACACATTCTCATTACGTAAAGGTTTTTCTTACGTAACAGTTAAATTACATTTAGGTGGTGTAGGAAAATACATTTATAAGAACAGGCGCCTCAAAGAAAATGATAGCATACTTGCATGCAAGGAACAAGTGCCTCAAACAAAACAAAACAAAACAAGGAAAAGGACAATTAACAAGCAACAATTTGGTATCACAGTATCTCATTGTTTGATTCCGATGTTGAACACTGAGCCATCTATGTCATTAGTTGAAGGATTATGTCGTCCTTTCGAATAAAAATTCTTCCGACTAGGCAAATCAAAGCAGCTTCAGCTAGACGTCGTCCACTATAACCATAGGAGTGACGAGAACAGCCCTCACAATATCTTTCGTGACTCTGTCGGAGGTGCCATAGCCATCAAATTCCGTGTACAAAACTTCCATCATCCTTGCAAGCCCGACCAACATCGAAATAATTTCCTTAGAGACGAAACTCGGCTGGTCGATCAGACACTCTCTGTTGATCTCCTTCCAGTCATCCTTCACCATTGTCTTCAATGCTTTCACGGCTTCACCTCTCGGCACTTCATATTGCTTCATGTAGCACTCGACCATCGAAGGCCCGTGCCCACTTTTCTGCTCGAACTATCAATACACAACCAAATTTTTCAGTTTTAGAATCGAGTCATGCATACCATATAATATTTGACACCTACTCGAAATCAAAATCAGGAAATGATTAAAAATACAAGCAAATTCATTAACGATTACTTAGCAAATTGTATATACCCATATGTTCTAGTTTCATTGCAATATGATTGAAGACTCACATCATAAATTAACATGAAATTGTATAATCGAAATGAAGATTATAACTAATGAAAAGCGAGTACACAGAGAACGTAACCCACCTGGTGAGCTAAGATGTCATCCATGAGGCGACAGTGATCAGATACCGCGACAAAGATTTTCGGGTCCGACAGCAACCACTCGAACGCCTCCTTTGGGGCCTTCTCACCCAAACCGCAGAGGGCTGCACATGCCAACGGCGGGTAAGCCGAGGAATGAATGCCGACACGCTTGTACTCTTCCACCGTCGGCACTTCCCCGGCGGCGAACCATCTTGCATGTGAGAGGTATGCTCTCATTATATACTTTTCCTGCAAGGCACGCCATTTAATTAATTATCATAAACATGATTTTTTTTTTGCTTTAATAATGACTAATTAAGCTGATTAAGTGAATTGATTCATTAATAACTTCTTAATTAGATTATGTACCGCCTCCTTTAGGTAGTCTCCGCAGTAGTGTCTTCCTTGTGCGGTCGTGGTTGTGGCTATTTCATCCACCACATCATTAATCGCCGCAAACAATGTTCTCATGTAGCCTGGGAGATCTTTCATGTTGGTAGTGTCCCATCTGTTCATCATTAACCACTCGAATCACTTTCAAGATATATGATTCGTTGATTGGTTTAGTTAACGAAGCTAGATAGCTAGCGCTACAAGAAAAAAGAATTTCGACTACCGTTTTCTTGACCTCCATTAGTAGTGATTGTAATCAAGACCAATTGACAACCACATTAGGAGGGTTGGAAAAGTTTTCTACCTTTAGGCACTCATTACTATTGGTTGTAAAGTAATCCATGTGGCAACCACATTTAATCAGTTAGTCACAGAGGCAACAGTTTTGAAAACCATAAACAGTGGTCGCCCAAACAGTATTTTCAACATAATCGTCGCATAGAGTTTTGGGCGAAGACCTTTTGCCGACTATCGTGGCGATCCTCATTTATAGTCACCACAATGTTTTGGCGACCATTTTCTGATTTTCAGCAACATTATTTGTGGTTGCAGAAAATATTCTTTTTCTTGTAGCTATAGCTAGTTCCAAATCCACTTGTGAGAACAAAAACGAGTGCTCAACCGAAAAGATGAGAAAGAGAGAGAAATGCGTGTACCTCTCGACTGTAGAGGTAAACAACTCAAGCTCGTCAAGTTTACCACGTTCCTCGTACATGTCATCGGTCACCGATATGAGTATGGTGATTTTCGTTAAGAAGTATCTCGAAAGAGCATATTTGGGCTCCCACATGCTTCCGATCGCCCAGAAGTATATCTCGACCAGTCTGTCCCGAGCGAAATATATCCTCGTGACGAAGTCCAAATCGATCCACCACCTACATCAACGAATTGGTCCGTTTTAATTAGTTAGAAGAACAAAAACATATTCATCCCAAAATGAAAAAAAAGAGATCAACGAGACGTATACTTGCTAATGCCCCTAATCTCTTGTTGGTATATGCTCTGCAAATGGTTCCAACTCAACTTGGCAAGGTTGAGAAGGGTTTTGTTGTGACCTTTCTCTTGCTCATATACCGTGATGAAGAAGAGCTGTTCGTGCCTTGGAGCGCCTTTGCGCAGTGGCCTTTCCAACACATGAGCAATTCTTTTGGACAATACTCGATTATCATCATCTTCATCACCACGATCCACCTTGAAGTAGTAGTTGCGAAGGTGGTCTCCTGCGAATTCGACAGCTTCTTCCATTATCGTCTCTCCATGCGTCTGAAGAAATGCAGCTTCATACAGGCTCATCAACCCATTGATGTCTTTCCCTAGTTCTTCCTTGAAGCTCCCTTCTTGGTTCTTGAATTGGTTGAATATGTCTGCATATATATTGTGTTCAGTAAACCTATCAACTAGCATCATCATATCGAAGTGTGTTGTAATGGAACGGGAAATCAACAATGCAAAAAAGCCGAGTTCGAATCTTGAGTTCGACAATCAACGAAAAAAAAGAAGAGAAAATAAACAAATAAAAGAACTCTTTTTTGAAAACAATGATTTGAACTTGTGGTAATATCATTGGTCTTGAATCTGAAGATCACAGGCAGGAGAGATCAGTACTTCACTATTAGAGGTGACAATTCTCAATCCAATTCATCAATACATTAAAAATATCCAACTAATCCAATCCATTTAAATCCAGTCCATTTGATCCAAATCCAATTGGATTGGTGGATTCATGGATCATCGTCAAATTACAATATAGTACCTATACTTTTTTATTTTTTACATTGGAAAATTACGTTTTGGTACCTAAAAATTTTCATTACAACATTTAAGTATCTAAACTTTTCACTTTTTACATATTGGTCCAAGATTAAGGATGTCATTTGGATTCATGGATAATCCACCAATCCATCCATGAATCCACCAATCCATTTGATCCATGGATCCACCAATCCAATCCAAAAATCCATGAATCCAATTAATCCATTTGTCACCTCTATTCACTATACTTGATGACAAGATACAATTTATAGAACTTGAGAAGTTATATATAACACATTCTCCGAACGACCTAAACTCTAATCCAATACGCAAATGAATAGGTTACCAACCAGACCCAAAATAGTAAAACTCAATGTATATATAAGCTCATACACACTGTGTAATGAAATATATTTTCAAGTTATAGTTGTACCGAAATCGCGCGTAAAACAAACGTGTATTAAGTCAATAATTTTTCTTTTTGAAATCATAGCAAAAGTAGTCATGTAATTAATAACCATGTAACGAAAGCTGAAATGGTACCACAAGACAAGTTGTAGCCGTGCTGTCTGAGCAGCCTGAACTGAAGCGCAGTGGTGAAGAGGTTGTCTCCATCCTCGTCACTAATGATATCATTTCTATTGCGACGACTCGCTCCGTCGCAATAAACCTGTTGGAGCTGCTCTCCAATCTCCGCTTCGAAATGGTAACCGATCCCCAGCCGCTCCGCCACATCGATCAGATGCAGCTTCTCGGTTGATATCATCATCATCGCCTTAACCTCTTCCTTCAACGCCTCTATCCCCTCGATCCACCCATCTACGGTCTGCCAAAAAGGTGAAGTGAAGGTGTTTGTTGGATTCACTCTCAGCTAAAAAAAAGAGGAAGAATGGGAATCATTAGTGACGAGAATTACCTCTTGGTCGCTAAAGACATGGGTGATGAAGAAGTCTCCCCATACAGTTGCCTTGAAGTCTGCTTTCTGCCGCCCAGGAGCGCTGGTTTCAGTGTTGGAACTGTTGTTGCTGGCCATATCTCGATCAAACAGATGATATTTGATGAGGTTTGTGCGAAGCTCGAGCTCTGTATCCAGTTTCTTTATGTATAGGGAAATAATAATGTCTCGATCGAATGCATATGATATGATTCTTTGTTATTTCTTTTCCGTGGGTTTTCAAAAGGATTGAAACTAATATTATTATATATATGGACTATTTGTTGAATTGTAAATTTATAATACGTTAATAATTTCCTGCCCATCCTCTGATCCTCGTGTTCCTAGCTAGCCCGCCTTTCTTTATATTTTTTTACATTATCTATCCACATGCAACCCACCCACATTCCATTGATGTGATGAGTATATGTTGTAAAAATCAAATGACATTAGAAAGAAAGAAAGAAAAAAACCTAGGAAAAGGATGGCTTATAATGAAAATTTCTTGATCCATTTGAAAAGATTCCCTGATCAATGTGAGGAAAAGTTAGATCTACGTTATTCATAAAAAAAAACGTTAGATCTACGCTTCTGCAGAGTCATCACAAATTGGGTTGATCGTGTCGTTTCTTATCGTGAAATTAGGAATTCGATTCTTACGTGCTTCGTAAAGTTTTGTTTTTTAATGCATCATTATG